AGTGGTACATGTTAAACTAGCATGATAGGAAAAGATGCCACACAAACAGACTACTTAAAATGCATGGTTTCCTAGCTGTACTAGGTTACTTCCGAGATAATACTTTGACTCTGACACCCTAGGCCAAAATCCAACCATGCTTACTTGATTAATTCCACTCATTTTAATGTGACTTATTTTCAAGTATGCATGCTTAGGATTACAGGCCTTAAGTCTGCAACAGGTTAAAAGTTCCTACATTAAAACTGTTCATTATTTAATATTTTAAAAGCCTGCCATTATATGATAAAGAAAAGCATGTTTTATAGTGAAGGAATGGACTGAAATGAAGGCACATCAAAGCTCTGTATATGAGAGAAGAGACTTGTCCATACACTTTTGCTCCAAAGCACCAATCATTTTAAAATAAACTATTTCATAAGCTATTTCACCTTAAAATCAATCTAGAGATCCCACAAACAATTCATTTAAAATATTTCAATTTAAGCTAATTTACATCACTGAAGTGAATGAGAAAAAAGGTTTCTAAAACAAGACTGATAATCCAGTGAAATTATCCTGACAATTTATTTCAGCAAGCAAATAGTAAAAAAAGATAGTTGCAGATGTTATGTTTACTTTCTTCTCTTAAAACAAATGCATTGATTAAGGCAACATACCTTAATCCAGTGCTTCTCTTTTCCAGAAATCCATGTGATAAAGACATTTATGTTGCAAATGTACAGGTGTGCAAAATATCAGCATGGATATATTTGGAACTGTATTCAAACAAAAGAAAACTTCCCAGGGTAGTCCTTTGATAGAGCAGTTATAATAAACTCTTGGTGTTAAATAAAAAATGCCAAATTAGACGCAACTTAAATTGTGTGTTTTAAAAATTAAAATATTAACTAAAGTGAGGAATGCAGATAAAGATCAGGATCCCACCCAGTGAGGGATTTACTTTAATTGCCTCGAAGATGCTTCAGGAAGCAGGCATTAACACCTGCTCTATATGCAGAAAGTCACAGGCCCAATCCAGGGAGCACCGGCAGAACTCCTGCCTGAAATGCTGGAATCCTGCTGCCAGTCAGTTGACAAAACCAGGCTGGATGGACCAATTTTCTGACTCAGGAATGAGGCAGCTTCTCATGTTCCTATAGTGCAATTTTTCACTGGCATGGCAAGATAGGAGGCAAAGTTAACCCCCCTCCCCAGTCGTGATCCCAATGATTGCCCCTGCCACTCTCCAGTACCCTTGCCATGAAAAACCCATGGACAGTATCAACAGGCAAAGAGATATGACGCTGGAAGATGAGCTCCTCAGGTCAGAAGGTGTCCGATATGCTACTGGGGAAGAGCGGAGGGCTAGTACTAGTAGTGCCAGAAAGAATGAAGCGACTAGGTCAAAGCCGAAAGGACATTCAGCTGCTGATGTCTCTGGTGGTGAAAGGAGAGTCCAACACTGTAAAGAACAATACTGCATAAGAACCTGGAATGCAAGATCTATGAATCAAGGCAAGCTGGATGTGGTCAAACAAGAGATGACAAGACTGAACATCGACATCTTAGGAATCAGTGAACTAAAATGGACAGGAATGGGTGAATTTAATTCAGATGACTATCGGGTATACTATTGCGGGCAAGAATCCCTCAGAAGAAATGGAGTAGCCTTCATAGTCAATAAAAGAGTAGGAAAAGCAGTACTGGGATACAATCTCCAAAATGACAGAATGATCTCAGTTCGAATCCAAGGCAAACCATTCAACATCACAATAGTCCAAGTCGACTGATGCTGAGGGACTGCAGGTGGTGCAGTGGTTTAAACCACTGTGCTGCTGGGCTGGTTGATCGAAAGGTTGCTGGTTTGAATCTACACAACGGGGTGAGTTCCCGTTGCTCCGCCCCAGCTCCTGCCAACCTTGCAGTTCGAAAGCATGCAAATGCAAGTAGATAAAAAGGTACTACTTCGGTGGGCAGGTAACAGAGTTCCGTGCACTTCGGTGTTTAGTAATGCCAGCCACATGACCACGGAGACTGTCTGCAGACAAACACTGGCTCCCTTGGCTAGGAAATGGAGATGAGCACCACCCCCTAGAGTCAGGCTTGACTGGACTTAATGTCTAGGGGAAACCTTTACCTTTACTGATGCTGAAGAGGCTGCAGTTGACTGGTTCTATGAAGGCCTACAACACCTTCTAGAATTAACACCCAAAAATGATGTCCTTATCATCATGGGGGATTGGAATGCTAAAGTAGGAAGCCAAAAGATAACCGGAATAACAGGCAAGTTTGGTGTTGGGAGTACAAAATGAAGCATGGCAAAGGCTTGGAGAATTTTGTCAAGAAAACACGCTAGTCATAGCAAACACTCTTTTCCAACACCCCAAGAGATGACTCTACACATGGACATCACCAGACATTCAACACAGAAATCAGACTTACTACGTGTTCCACAGCCAAAGATGGAGAGGCTCTATACAGTCAGTCAGTAAAAGCAAGACCAGGAGCTGACCGTGGCTCAGATCATGAGCTTTTTGCTGCAAAATTTAGGCTTAAATGAAGAAAGTAGGGAAAAGCACTAGGCCACTCAGGTATAACCTAAATCATATTCCTGATGAATATACAGTAGAGGTGACAAATAGATTTAAGGAATTAGATCTGATAGAGTGCCTGAAGAACTATGGACAGAGGTTCACAACATTGTACAAGAGGTAGCAACTAAAACCATCACAAAAGCATGTCATCATAATTGGGAAAGGAATACACAAGGCGCATCATGCGAAAGGCAGGGCTAGATGAATCACAAGTTGGAATTTGAATTGCCTGGAGAAATAGCAACAACCTGATATGCAGATGATACCACTCTAATGGCAGAAAGTGGAACTAAAGAGCCTCTTGATGCAGGTGAAAGAGGAGAGCACAAAAGTTGGCTTGAAATTCAACATTAAGAAAACTAAGATCATGGCATCTGGTCCTATCACTTCCTGGCAAATAGATGGGGAAGAAATGGAGGTACTTACAGATTTTATTTTCCTGGGCTCCAAGATCACCGCAGACGGTGACTGCAGCCAAGAAATTAAAAGACACTTGCTCCTTGGGAGGAAAGCAATGGCAAATCTAGACAGCATACTAAAAAGCAGAGCCATCATCCTCTGACAAAAGTGCATATAGTCAAGGCTATGGTTTTCCCAGTTGCAATGTATGGCTATGAAAGCTGGACCATAAGGAAGGCTGAGCATCAAAGAATTGAGACTTTTGAATTGTGGTGCTGGAGAAGACTCCTGCGAGTCCCTTGGACTGCAAGGAGATTGAACCAGTCAGTCTTAGAGGAGATCAACCCTGACTGCTCTTTACTGAAGATGAAACTCAAATACTTTGGCCACCTAATGAGAAGGAAGGACTCCCTGGAGAAGAGTCTAATGCTGGGAACAATAGAAGGCAAAAGAAGAAGGGGACAGCAGAGGATGTGGTGGCTAGATGGAAGTCACTGAAGCAATCGGCGTGAGCTTGGGTGGACACCGGGGGATGGTGGAGGATAGGAGAGCCTGGAGGAATGTTGTCCATGGGGTGCGACTTTGCGACTGACATAACAACAACTGTAATTTGCATTATTTTGTTTGGATTTACAAAGAAACATGCTTTCATCTAGATTCCTAAAATACTGTTGACCACAAGCGTTCTTGTCCAAACCTTGCTTAAAAGGGTTTAAGTAATAGCAAATGTTAAATCAAACACTTCCTGGGGCGAAAGGGAGAACATGGGCCCATCTCTTCCAAGCAGATACTGACTATCTGTCAGAGTTGATTGTTTGGGGATACATAAGTACAGTCCAAGATACTAGATGTGGATTTTTACTTGAAGATTCCTTTGCATCAGAGTGCCTCCAACAGATGATCGATGTAACATTAGCCTGCTTCCACACATGAACTGTCCCTACTGAATCAAGGTGATAGAAAAGAGAAAAAATTAAAAATGGGCCGGGGGGAGAAAACACCATAGGTGCAATCTATATGAGACTGTAGAATGTTAAGACACAAGGATGTTTAATAATGCTCTCCCCCCACCCAAAAAACCCCTTAGAGTTCTGAATGCATTTAAAGAAAACCGTTGTTCTGAAACATAACAAGGCCTCAAATAAATATGTAACCAAAGTGTCTATGTCATTACATTAGTTTTACTTATATGGATTGCAGCTTACTTTACATCTCCAGGATGATGGAATACTCTGGATAAAAACTTGACTGACATCACACTTTCCTCTGTGTTGGGCCATTCCCATCCTTACTTTTTATATTGCAGAATTATTAAATCCTATGTAGAACAGCAGTGGACAAAGGGATCTACTGGTAGATCTCTAAACAATTGGAAGTAGATTGGCAAATATTTCTGACTGAGAAAAGGTATTTGGTGGCAGGGTAAAGGGAGAAAAAGGAGTGTGTTTTTCCATGGAAAAAGCTATGTTCATCAGCCAGTCTGGTACTAAAAACAAATTCCTGGGTGCTTTCTAAGTACATATATTTTGTTGAGGCCGCAGATGGGGGAATCATCTCAGAGTTCTAGCAATAAACAAAATAGATCCAAAGAGCGTGTTCACCCCAATTAAATCACCATTACAGCAAATATATATTTCCTGCAATCCTCACCTTAAAGTTGGCTTTGCTCTAACCTGAAACTAAATTGTGAGCAGAGCTGGCCAGAGCCAGGAGTCAGACTAGATGGCCCAGGAGACCCCTTCTGACTTGCTCTGTTTCTATGTTTCTATATACAAAAAAGTACACAGCCCAAGGGTTTTTGGTTTGTTTTTAAAATTCTGATTCTTACAACTTATACATTATAACTTAGGACACTAAACTCTCTCACATTATCCTATATTTAAAACATTTAGCAATCTATACAGTAAATTTATTATTTATCTTTAAGTGAAAAATTAATGTTTGAATCCTTTAAATACATGCATGGGAAAGAGTTAAAACCAATGCACCAGTTGGCATGACTGAACAATTCACCATGGTTTATCAAAGCCACGTTTGGCTGTGGTGCATGCCAACAGCCGTTTTAAATATTCAAGTCAAAGTTGTGGTTTGTAATATTGTCCTAACCCACAGTCCCTGGGTTTGGATGACCCAACAAGCTACAATTACAGATTGAATATTTAGAATGATGCTTTCAGACACTACAGTTCATCATGGCTTAAAGAAAGCTGCAGCGATGAAATGACATGTAAAGAGATACACAATGAGTGAGTGCTATTAGCATCTGCAGAATTACTCCCTGCAATGATAGATGATCTCTTGTACCTAGGCAAGCAGCTTTAAAAAATCAGCCTTTTACCCTGATTACAGCATGCCAAAGACAATGGAAAAGAATGCAGGATGCCTTATGGAGAAAGATGATACCACATGACATACACTCTAGTAGCTCATGCAGTAAATTATACCCTATCTCAGAAAACAAACCTTAGCATCACAAAGCAATCAGCCCTGAGGAAAAAAATCCCCCTTAAAATGTGGTGATCACTGAGATCAAAACAAGAGCAGAAACACAGCTCCAAGATGAAACGTGATTGGCCCTTTTTACATTAGTATTCTCTGCCCAGAGCTTCTGCTAAGATTTCCTCTCCAATTCCTGTTTGCTGTACCTAATGAGTAATGAAGACTAAATCTGATTGCCTGTACTCCCTTCCACTGTTCTGGCTCAAGCTTCTCAACTAGTCGTCATTATCTGGAAATTCCTATTTGCTCTACCATTCTCAAAGTCTGCTGTACCCCTAGCAAGTGCATGAATGCGCTTGCACATATTTTCACTGTTTTTAAATCCAAAGCATCACACGCAGAATCCAACATTGTGACTTTTGAATTAATGTTTTATATTGCACATTACTATACTATGCAATTAGCTTTGTGCTTTAGTTCTAAAAGTGAGGGCTGGGGAGGTAGGAGAAAACTGGGAGAGGGCCACAGGGACCTGGATGCCAGACAGCCTCATCCCTGGGACATTCTAGTAGGTCACCTACTACAAGACAAGTGGTAACTCAACGGTAGCACACCTGCTTTGCACACAAGAAATCCCAGATTCAATCCAGGTAGAGTAAAAAACTTTCCGCCTGAAACTCTGCAAAGTTGTTGCAATCACTCTCAACACTATTCGGCTAGATGGATCAATTGTCTGACTCTGTATTAAGTAGCTTCCTATATTTTTATTTTCCCATGGTCCTACCCTGCCACTTGGCAGAGTCTTACTTACAAACCTCTTGAACAGAATAGTAGGCACTGCCACAATAGTCTTTATTACAGTGCATTCTTCTTTATAATATTACTTTGTGGAAAGATGATTACCTTTTGTAGAACTAGCAAAACAACTGAATTTATGTAACATTGTACCTGAATATTTGACAATTTTAATGGTGTTTAAAAACAGTTAACCACCACCATCCCTTCTATACTGTTCAATACCCAAAGCTCTAAAATGCTGCAATTAAAAAAAAAAAACAACTGGTAACAACAATGGCCTTTATTATAGAGAAATACAGAACACAGTACACAAATGTAAAGTAATCAAAAATAACTTTATTGACATGCAAACTGGCATTTGAACTTGTGATTAGTATCACTAGTGTACCTGAGAAAACAAATGGGGTTTGGGTCACTGGTATATATCAGATGCGGGACAATAATAATTTTTAGTAAATCAGTACGAGGGAATGAAAAATGATTGCCAAAAACTTTCTAATTTGCAGATCTAATACCTAAATATGGAAATACTATCAGGCAGAGTTCATTTGAAGACACTGATTCAAAAATGTATTAAAATATATAAATCACAAAAAAGATTCAAAGTCCAGGCCTGAATAGCATTAGGCTATCCCATGCAAACCATCAGAACAGCATTCTCCACTACAAAGAACCACACAATGAAAAGGATGAAATTACAGCAGGAGGAAGAAAGGAAACCGACTGAGAGCAAAGCCTATCAAGCCAACAGCTGCACTGGCAGTACGAACTCACTCACACCAAACTAATGCCAGCTCAGAGTCTCCAGACTGATCTTCCGAACAGCTTCCATCTTCAGTCTACAAGGAAACGTTGTAGTCTTCTAAGTGATATAGATGGCTTTTGCTCAGAAGAGGTCATAACAAAAGCCATGGAACTCCTGTGAAAGGAAGCCATGTAAGGCCAAGTATTAACGAGGCTTCACTCCTACAATACTGCAGTCAAGTACAGGAATTAAACACGACAAAATCCTCATATAAGATTGCTTTCCGCTTATCTGCTTTGAACAAAGTTCCATTTACACAAACTGTTACAGTGTGATGTCGAGTAAGTAGAGGCTGATATCATACAATACAAAGTGAAGATAGAAGCAATCACAAGATACATTCTGCCCTAAATCAGCTCACCTTGACATACCAACCTAAAAAAGTGAATAGGCCTCAAATCCCAAATAACACAGGCAAGGACTGGAACCGATCAGATGATTGACTCAAATGTTAAAGTAAAAGCTTTAGCAAAATCATGCAAAACTAACAAGCTAATTTTCTAATTTGCATGGTATGAAAGAAATACATAAAAACTAGCAGCAAGTTTTAGTCTCATAAATATTCTAGTCTGTATCACCTTTGTCCAATAAAACTAGTTTAAAACAACTGGAAGAAAGATTCAGTATTTGGAAATACTGGCAAAAATACAAGGAATGGATTGGATTTTTATTAAGCATGGGAATTCGCAATCCAACATGATTTACTAAAACTAAACAGCTTCTCAAGTTGAACTTTATACTAGTAATGCTCTGAATATCTAGCAGAATTACCAAAAATATCCTAGTCATCTTTGCAGCTGCATTACACTGGTCAGTTGAAATTAAATTCATCAACCAAGATCCAGGAGCATTTTCCTTCTGGACTGCAAGTGTCTACTAGCCTTCAAGTGCTCAATTTACATGTCATACTAGTTAATTTTACTGAATTTGTATTGCTATAGTCTAAAAGGGATACAGATACAAGGATTATTCTGATGCATGTTTTCTACCTTTGCAGTCAAGTGGGCTTTTTGCTATCTCCTAGTAACAACCAAAGATGTGTATTACTTACCTGTGTGTCTTCATAGAAATTTTCCACCCATGATAGTATGGAAAGATAAAGGTACCCATGTATTTTCAAGCAAAATGTTCTAGGTTTAATACTCAGTATCTCCAGGTATAGCTGGGATGAAATGCTGACAGAAAACCTGGAGAGTAAGACTGAGAGCCAGAATGCAGAGAGAATCGTGCTAAATGAACCAATAGCCTGATTCATATGTATTTTTTTGTGTACAAAAATCACAATCATCAGTGAAACTATAACTGTTGCCTTTGTAAGCGAGGAAAAGCTGAGGGTAGAGAGGCCTGTAAGCCTCAACTGCTTGACTCCCTACCCACTGTTAATTAAAACTAAAACATTCTAAAAGCTTGCTAAGAGAGCCTTCATGAAAAGGCAAGGCAGGGTAAACTATTCCACACCCCCAGCAAGTTGGAGTACTAGCGTCTGCTAGTAGCTGCTGGACTCAAATGACCACTGCCTGAGGAAGCCACTGACATTCCCATGCATATCCCTCTTGCCCAGGGACTTGCATCTAGAGGAGGTAAGGCAAGTTGCCCTCCATCCACAGAACAGAATGAAAATTCACACAGTACACGGATCCATCCTTTCTCCTGCAGTGAGGGAAAGCATCCCAGTGAAGTCCATGAGTCAGTTATGAGTTCTGTGAATACATACAGGTTGGGTTCACACAACTTCTCAAGCCACACTGTGTAGAAAGCAATGCAGTCTGGCTTGTCTCTAGCACATGGATATAATTAGCATTAATCCTGGTTGTATGCCAACCACTGTAAAAGCAAGCTCTTAAGCCATGGGGTGTGCAGGGTTAGGGAGGAGTGACCTGTGACCAGGGCCAGCCAGCGTGAATGAGAAAAGGAATGAAGGAAGCTCGATGGGATTCTTGTGGATGAAAGGGCATGCATAATCTGAAGAGATTTCCCTCAAAGAGATTAGGCAAAGGGACCCTGCACAGGATGGCTACCATTGTCCTGAGTGGGCGCAGTAAATCAACTGGAGGGGAACTGGAGGAAGGAAACCTCAGGCACCTGAACATTCTCCCATCAATAGCAGCTGGCAAACACAAAGAACTCACCTTTTACCCATAAAAACAGACATGATCACTTAGCAGTCAGCAGATGGCTAAGGTCATCAAGAGCAACCAAGCACCCATCAAGTAATTAGAATATGTCTGAGCACAACAGGAGTCTTGCTATTCCCACAGAAGCAAGTACAAATAAAAGGGTGCAAGAACCAGAAGCTAAGCAATTGAAAGACATCAAGCTCTGACCACAGCCCTGGCAACCAGCTTGGAACTGAACTATATGCACCCTTCCTGTGTTGAGAGTGTGCTGTGCAGGACAAGCAACAGTAAAAGAGAGGCTCCCTCTCTTTTTTTCCCTCTATCACAGGGCTAGGAGTACTTCAAAGCAGCTGTCAGAGGCTCCCTGCTGCTTGTCCTGGAAGAGAGATGGGCCATGCAGGAGGGCCAGAAGAACTCACCTGCTCCTTTTCACATTTGCTGCATTGCTTGCCCACAGGGCACCTGCTGTAACGAGCAGTGTGGTTGTGTTCTCCTGTTCTACTCTGGGGAAGGCCAGGAAAACACATTTCCTGCTCCCCTAATCAGTGCAGCAGCTGGGGGGTGGGGATGGTGGTCATGTTTTCCTAGGGCTCTTTCCAAGGAGTTGCTTTAAAATGAATCACTGGTATATTTAGGAATTTTATTCTTCCCTCTTGGCAACACAAGATGGACTTCCACATAGTTTATCACACAGAAAGGGGGAACTAGCAAATCCAACCCACAAGGTGAATCTTCTCAACATGGTGATCCACCCTGCAAATATGCTGCAAAATCATTTCTGGGGATCTCTGCACTTTCCTGGTCTCTGTTTACTTGAGAAAGTAAGAATGATGAGGTAGTTCCTCTTTTAGAAGGTTTCTTTTGACAGCTGGTATTTCTTTTTAAAATTCTGGTAAATCACTTTTTTGGGGGGAAGGGGAGAACAGGGAAATATATATACAGCTTCATCATGGCTTAGATGCAAGTGAGGGTCAGTTGTCAATGTTAGGATGACATGTCAACCAACTGTGAGTCAAACTCCTCCTACAACAAACTAGGGGTTGATCACAAACAAGCCACCCTAAAGGAAGCAGTCCAGCTTTGCATGACATGGCGATACATTGTGGCTAGTTACCCACAATGTGTTACTGCATCAGGTAAACCCACACATTCTATCATGTTTGACAGAAGACATACCTTGGCTACCTTTTGGAGTCCTTTTCACAGCTGCATGCTGTGGGAGGTGAAGGTATCTCCTCCAGCAGCTGTCTTCTCTATAGGATTGCTCTGCCAAAAATGAGATTAATCCATCTAATTCTTAGCATTTTTTTTCAATAGTTATGTTTGGATTTGGGAATCAAGGCACCCGACTACTATACCTACAAGGGCACATATTAGGTGCAATTGGAATACATCATAACTTATTTAACTATTTAAGAAGTACAAAACTTCTTTGCAGAGCTGGGGAGAGCCTTTGCTGCAAATAGAGCAGTCTCCAAGTTCATAGACTTGCATTATTCCAAAAGGATTGCACCATTAAACCCCTATGTTTGGATAAGTTGGGGCAATTTCTGATATCTGCTCCCCACATGCCAGGTTTTTGACAGATCTGGCTATGTCAGTAGCACTTGTAAGATTCCTTGTCTGAAGGAACTCCCATCCTTCCTATCTGAGAGGAAAAGCTAGGGATGGGGTTTCACTTGGTGGCTCCTCCTGCCACCAATTTAAAAAGAAAAAATAATGGTGTACTGAGAAGTATGGAGCACCAACAGTGGTTGTTTTTTTCTTGTTTGCAGGCTAAATCTGACCTTTTTGGGTTCTCTGGATGCCTTTCTTCTCACATTTTTAAAATATTATTTTCAAGTCACCCCTTGCAGACCTGGCCTGGGAGGGAAGTTCAAGGGGCAAAAATTGTCCAAGACATCCCACAGTTGCAAGTTAACCTCTATTTACCCATTATAGTAGACTGCATAACAGCATTTGCCGCTGCCAAGCCAATTGTCCAGTACCAAACCCCAGATTGTGTTTCTATTCAAATCTTTTGGTCTTCAATAATGAAGAAACCACAAACTAAGAATTTATTTTGTCAATGCAATACTCTAAGAGACATTTGCTAATAAGGCAACTATGAACTAAGTGTTTATTACTGACTCTGCTCATATTTCACTTTAACCAAATTAAAACTGAAGATTCTCATATCAAAAGAAGTAAAATTGAAAATCAAATGTAGCATTAAAGGTGCAACTGGCAGCCGTCTCTCTCCCACCCATTGCTGAGAAGTAAGCAAGTAGGATCTGGAGACCCCAGAATGAAGGTTTGGGTGGGGGGGGCACTTCCTTGCCCTCCCTGCCAGCCTGGGCCCATTGTGATTTGCACTGCCAAGAAAAGCTCCATTTGTTTCCACAGATCCTTTTATGGCAATGCAAACTGCAGGAGTGGAGAATTCTGGATTCCTCCACTTCCTATACTAGGTTCATAACCTGTACTAGGTGCATCATATTTACTTTCAACTAAGGAAAAGGGAGTTCATTCTGAAAAAACTGAGCTCAGCACTTTATTTTGGACCATGACCTGGCAGCTTAATTTGGGGTGGATAACATTTCAACTGTTTGTGTTTATTCCAATTAATTGGATTTGTCAAAATGTAAAGCGGCTGAAATGTTCAGGCATAATTTTGAAATAATAAGGTATTATAGTAATGGTTGCATTGCAAGTTAGCTTTTGAATACCTTTAGCAGAAAACTTAGGAAGAAAAAACAATGCAATGCTTGTTGTAGGTGACATTTACTGGGAAGTGTCAACTGGCAAAAAATTATAAATCAAGCCAACCATTATCAGCAGATTTTATTGACTTGGATACTAACTTTTCTTCTGTGAATGAAACTGAGTTCCCATTCATATAGACTGGAGCGTTTCTACTGACCTTTGCACACCACCTCCAAAATATGCTCCTGGGGGCTGGGGATGTCTAGGGAATGGTTAAGGGAATGGCACAGAGATCTGCAGGCAGAGGAAGAAACATCATCCCTTACATGAAGGAAAGATCAGTCTAGGATTTGAACCACTCTATTCACTGATTCGGTTACTTTTACCCAGCAAAATTCATACCTATTAATAACTCTGGTTTATTGAAGACTGCTACCATGGATTACTGTTATTACTAAGATTTCAAATTCTATCACAATTTCTACTATCAATTTCTACATAAGCATTATCTGTGTTTTCAATCTTAATCTACTTCACTAGCACTTTTCTCCATTTTATTCCTCTTAGCTGTTGCATCACCCAGTGAAATAAACTGGCAATATTTGAATAAGAAAATATTTAGAAAATCTATATAGCTAAACAGACAATTTTAAGTCACCAAGGGTGACCAAGGATTGATACTAATAAAAACAGTTGGAGTTTTCAGGCTGCTTATAAAAGGAAAATCTGTTAAAAAGATTCACAGCCTGATCCTATGCATGCTTATTTAGAATTAACTCTTGCTGTTCTGATTAAAGCACACAGGGTGGCTGCTATAAGAAATCATAAGTTCAATATATCATGAAGTTACAGAAGCAGTTTCTGGTATCTTGGGTGAACTGAACAAGTCCTCAACAAAAGGAAAAAAGGTATTAAGTTTTTGGACTGCAATGAAAACTGACACAGGAATACTTCCTTCAGAAAGAGACCTGCCCATAAAGCCCTAACTGATGGAGATGTTGAGTAGGAAAAAAGCCATTATGATTGGTTCAGATGGGTTGCCAATATAGCAGTAACAAGATATTATCTGCGTAGCAGGATCTTCTCCAGTATCTTCTTCAGATAAAATGTTAAGAGCATTACAGATGGTAACTAATGTTAAAAATCCAGATTCTGTACTTAGAATGCAGTAGAAACCAAGAGCTAGTTTACATACATGTGCGCATACCTCCGTCAATCAACTTCTCATGGGTGCCAGGACACCATCAATGATACAAAAGCTCCCTCACTCACCTGGGATGCTACATTGTGCATATGGAGCTGCTCCTTCCATTAATATGAGTGGGCCAGCCTCCAGGATTGCGCCCCAGGTCCATATACATACTTTTAAATACCTATCCTGACGCCCCTTCAAAGATCTTCAAGTTTAAGTTCCGGCCCATTTTCCCCTTGTTACCTAAGCAACCACCTCACCAAAGACAAAGAAAAGTAAAAACAACTGCCTTCAAACACATGCCGAGTGGATAGAAATGGATGATTTTTAGACTATAAAATCTATAAAATTTTAGAAATGTTTCTCTAGATTGTGTTGGTATTTTATTTTTTTTTTAAAAGAGATCGCAAACAAAATGCTATTTTTTCTTTCTTAAAAAATAACACAGGTCAGTCACATCTCACCATAAACATGTTAAACCAAATTTACTGAGCTGGTTCACATGATTACTGCAGACCAACACAGTTTCTTACGCCACAGTAGGCTGTGGTGCACACTTGTGGCCTTTTTGAACATTCTGCTCCCTTGTGTAAGCTGGACCCAGGGAGCAAGAACTGATGAAGCTTAAATGACCCTACAACAGACTATGGGTTAAACGGGCTCATTCACACAATGCTGAAATGCAATTTAATTTTATGTCTGTATGTGGCCAGTGAAGCTGCTCTCATGCAATGGTAGCATTCAGAAGCAGACATGCAGCATGTATGAGCTGCTTTCAGTTTGTAGCAACAACCTATGAATGTCCCATTTGTATGCTGTTAACATAATGTAAAAAATCAAGACACTCTGGATTATTTGTGGATCAAACAACACTAAGAATGAACCATAGCTTAGGTCTGGATTGTTTAACCTACAAATAACCCAAATCGTGTAGATTACAACTACAATCCAGAAGCTAATACTTGAAAATGAAAAGATGTTTTGGAAAGGTAGATAAAACCCAAGGCAAAGAAGAATAATTGTACAATAATCCCCCACAGCACAGAAGCAGACCAAACAACATATATCCAGGTCCTTGGTTTCTACATGGGTTTTAAAAAATGAAATTATAGAAGGATGTTGCCCTTTTAATGGCATAATAACTTTAATATTAAAGGCATAGGCTAGTAAATGCAAAATTTATTTCAACTGTACATAACAAATACCTTTTAAAAAAGAAAACACTTAAGTTGTTATATGCCACCACAAACAATAAAAATGCAAACTGTACAATACAATGCACATTCAAATATACATCTATATTCTGTTTTCAAAAGTCAGTAAGTTACTAAAAATGGCTTCTCCCATTCATAAATGAAATGCACAATATATATTCTTTTTTACGTCACTATATACACATATTATTGTGTTTTGCCATGAATATGCAAAACACACAATATAGCTTAGTGCCAACTTACAGTAAATACTAATTGAATGGCAATACTATTTACGCCATGTGAAAGGGACCCACAATGCCTCACACCTACATTCTAATCTGAATTTTGTACGCCTTCATACTAATACTAGCTGTACACACTTATCTTACAGATTGCATAACATAAGGTAGCATTGTTTATATTATTTAAGTTCCACAAAAATAAAACACTAAAACTTTGGGCTGAATACCATCATTTTAACACTGGATGATTTCCTTATGCTTGCTGAATTAATATTTCTGATCCAGAATGATCCATTCTTAAAAGCAATCAGACTACAACAGTGTGAATCCTGATAAGGACATTTAATGGCATTATTACACCAAAGAAATCTACTGTAAAGGTAAATAATGATGATTATCAGAACTTTGAATATTCAGAACAAGTTAAACACAATCCTGAATTGGAAAGTTCCAGGATTTCAGATTCATAATACATCATAAGAGCATCAGAGTGTTATTAAAAAACCGTTTAGCCATTGTAAAAAACATCTCTTTTCTAAAACCAGGATGCTATTAATTAATGGGAACAGTGATCTATGTCTTTAGTGTCATCAATTGTTTGTTTTGTGAATACTGAGATTTAAAAATATGTATGTGATGGGTTAAGGAGGTTTACAGGAACACTGTTTGGCAATATGGAGTACAGAAACATTCTGTGCCCAATCTTTTCCAGGAGACTAACTAGAACTTAATGCTGCAGGCACACCAAACAGTTTTCTAACTTGTTTTGTCGTCATAAGAAACTGCACAGGAGAGGCTGCAAGTATGAGTAGATAAACAGCAAGGAGAGGAGCTGTTTTCCCTTTGGCCATTTTCCATCTAAATCACCTCCTCTCAGCTTTTATTCCACTTACACTGAGAAGGAGAAATCCGAATACCCACACGCTTTCAACCAGGTGAAATATTTTGCCCAGAACAGCCAGAATGAAAAGGGTTCAAAAGCGCCTTCTTCTCTATTCACACTGCAGCCTCTTGTTGCAAACCTGGACATAATTTAATCCCCATTGTACCACCCATGAGAATATATCAATTCTTGTTCAGTTATGTGCTAAGAAAGGATTCCTGCTCTAGAAAAACAGAAGCTAACAGCACTATGAATTGGTGTTCTTGAGTCATTCCTGTGGGTCGTTGCTGTGCCATACAAGACCACTTATGCCACTTTTGGCAATGGTACAGCATTGCAACATGAAGTGTTGGTATGATGCCATTAATGGGGGCTATAAGTGGGAGAAACCTGCAACTGGGTCCCACCTTCCACAACACTTGAGCTGCAGAATGGCAATCTAATGCATGTCCCTACAGCCAAGACTGTCTCTTAGGGATCAGGACCCCCAGTTCAACTGGGTACAGAATACAGGTATTTTGCTTTCTTTGCTATTTGATGGCTAGCAAGTTAGAATCTTTCTGTTGAGCACTTCAATTTAGGAATGTTTATCTATGAACTACTGTACACAGAATTAAGCGCAAGTCATTTTTCATCTACTGTCTCAACATTGTCCATTTCAATATCCTTGGTTAGATCATTCATATCCTGTTAAGTCATCAAGCAGTGGAAACTAGATAACTAGAGATGTTTACTATCATCTGAGAAATCACAAGCTTTTATGATCAAATTTGTCAGCGAGAAACAATGGAATGAGAATTGCTTTTGTTTGTTCAGAGTGGCATTAGAACACTAGGTATACTTGTCCAGAAAATTTCACACTCTAGAGGGAAAAAGTTGCCTAATCAGGTTTTCTAATGGCAATTGTAGCATTTGTTTAGATTACATTTTAAAAGATTTTCTGCATAACAGAATTTCCCTCAGAATATCCTCAGCTCCTGTATTATTTGTTGCACATATAAAATACCTTAGAAAGTTCATGGGAGTACTAACTTAAATAAAAAGTTGTTTGCTAGGATGGGTGGATTATGTGCTTATAAAATAAATTAATAAAATTATATACATGTCACAGGCATAAGGAATATGAAAAGAAACACCCCCTGTACCTCCCCACCCTAATTCAACCTGTATGGATTTCAATGAGCCAATAGGGAGACTTGGCACTTCCAAAATGTGGCCCTGTCTTTTTAAAAAGAACTTTGCAAGTGGGTTATCTTCTAAAGATTTCTTCCCCACTACAGAAAGTGCTCTATGAAGTATTGTTACTCATGTACATACTAGCACCTGTCTGTCCTTTGCCAGCCACAGCTCAATGAGCGGTGTAGACACAAGGAGGAGCTTCCAAATACTCCAATACACCATTTATGTTTTTCTTCTTGGCACACCAGACACCTGTGCTGCAAACCACTTCTGAAACTCCTGAGTGTCCAACACAGTCTGATGTGGAATCAGGGAAAAGATGGGCCTTCTGTTAAAGAAAAAGTAAGTTCAAATCCTGCTGCACATGTGAACCTTGTTGCCTAGACTGCATTTTCCATAATCTGTCACGTAAAGAGGCAACAACCTCTCTTTGCCAACGCTTATTCAGAAAAGCGTTTTAGAGTCATTGACCTTCCCATGTTTAATCTGCTTGCTCAGTATTTGAAGCATACACTTGATTCTCCCAGTGTTTTAAGAAAAGTAGGCAAGGTAGAAATACACATGCTTGTCCTCTGAAAACCAGCTTACAGATTTACCTAATATAGATCTTTCTCAATTTTCCATTGCTTGTACATTTTTTGCTGTTGTAATTTGGCTTCCCTGCTTTTCTATTATTAGTATTACTGAACACACATGCAAACCTAAACACTGTAATGCTAAAATATTTTCATGTATATGGCACAAGTATTATTTCACAAAATACAAGCATGTGCTGTAAAAATGAGGAAGGGTGGGGGAAGAAAAGAGTTGCAGCTACACTGAAACTTTTTTAAAAACAAAAAAAAACAAAACCCAGACCATTGTAGCTATATATCAGTGTTGCCAGTGTTTATATCAAAAGATCCTGTAAGTATCATCAGGTACCATAAGGTATTACTGAAGTATCAGAAATTTCTTCCAAAGGTTGTTAAAATATCACATTAAAGAGACAAGAAACTGCAAGAAAACATCTAAGAAAAGCAGGCTGTGATACAACAAGCATTTGTTAAGAAAAGCTCAGAAGTGCATTAGTTCTGGTGAGAGATATATGAGCAACAGCTCTTACGAGATGTAGACCCCATTCTGTAACTATGGGCTGTCCATATACTGTCATAGTCAGAGTCTTCAGAGAGGTCGGAAGGCTCCAAACGAGAAAGGCTACTGCGACGACCCAAGGAGTCTAGACTTGATTGGTCATCATCAGCCAAGACGTGATTATGCATCAGGTCAGTGCCTTGCCATGCTAAGGATGTATGGGTGAAATGAAATGGTGGATGTAGACAGGCAGAGGTGGGATGAGGAGGAGAACATACAGGATAAGCCACAACCAAAACACATGAAAAAAAAGCAAAAGGTGACGGGAAGAAAAGGAAAAGAGAAAATATTGTTAAAAAGACACCAAATTTTGTAATTCTTATTTGGTTGGGTTTTATGTACAAATTATACTTAGCACATAGATTACAAAAACAAAACAAAACAAAAAACCACCCTAGAAACAAAACAAAAAACACCCACCCATTGTCACAATAAGAATTTCAATTGGTTTTCACTGATTTCAATTGGTTTTCACTGACCTATTTAGAGGGAGCTCTGCTTTGAGTATCTCTTTTAATAGTATTAGGACCAATTACTATAACACCTAAGTGAGAAAAACTGCTATGCTGACCTACAATGAATCTAATCAGCAGTCTTTTAAGTGCAAGAGTTGTTTTAGTGGCACTAGTTTGCATTTCCAGAAGAAATGTCTTCTGAAAAGTGCTACAGAACCAAAGGGTTGTGAAACAAGTCAAAAAGTGCACACAAAAAGTTAAAAGTATTCTTAGTTTACTGGGGTTCAGCTATCCCTCATCTAAATCTATTTGCCCATTTTATTGTTCACTACCTACCTCTAAAGTCCTTTCCCCTTAAAATCTTATTTTGACAAGAGTCTTCTCCATGGGAGAATCTGAAATGATTTCATGGAGGAGTATATAGAAATATTATTGTGAAAAAAGTCAGGGAGAGGGAGTTGTCAGCACTCCTAACATCCTACTCAAATACTTTTCTTGGAAACTACATGAGTAATGTCATTCCATGTCTCCACTGGAAGTATTCCAAACCATACAAATGGAAGGAAAACTTGAATAGGTCTTTGAGCATTTGACTTGGTAAAAAAGAGAAAAAACAAATGAATTCTCTAATTGAAAAATACTAAGAAACTGAAAACTGTCTGTGTAGGTAGGTAATATAATAAAAACAAATTGGCCTGAACTGGTGAAAGTCTGGAGGAGTCATGGCTTGGTAAGACTAACTCACAAATGCAGTCTGTGGCTGGGTGTTTCTTTTACGTAGGCACATCCAGCTGTTTCCCTTAATAATTTTTTATGTTGCATCCATTTTAACCACACCAGCACAAACTCCTTGAGAGAGAATGCTTGAAATAGTTTTGTCAAAACTGGCAGGCCCCATGGGGAGATGTGTTATACCAAGAGTGCAGGACCTCTTTCAGCCAAAGGGCAGAGTTCAATTTCAGGACATCTCCGTGGCTGCATTCCAGCGGTAGGCATGGCCAAAGGCGTAAGCAGTGAGCCAAAGATAAATCAGGCAGCACCAAAGTAACAAAAATCCCCTCAATACCAGCATGTTTTTGCTTAGATCTCATACTGTTAACAAGTACCACTCAAAATAACTTTTCTGACTGGGAAAGAGTTGTACAAAAGTTGGGAAACCACCAAACTATTCTACGAGGGACAGAGGAAACATGTAGCCATTTGGAGTACTCCGGAAGATGGAATTGGTAAGGGCTAGCTTAGGCCCACGGGCCTTAAGTTCAATACCTCTGTATTAGGCAAGCAACTTGCTGTTGTGCTTTGATCATTCATCATGCCACAGACTGCACATGTGGATTAGGCTAAAGTTCTAGACTGCTAGGGACCCTTGTTCCATTTCAATAGAGAAAAAAGTTGTGTCAAAGCATGTGCACACAGCAGAGCAAAATGGATTGCTCTGTGCTGAGGAGAATGAGCACAGGCCATATTGCTATTAAAAGCAGACTACCACTGAGCTTAATGGAGTTGGATTACACCTGCTAATTCTAATTCTTTCATCACTTAAGGGCCTTTTCACACGATCAATTAGTTAATAAGCTATTCCATTATATGGTATTTTAGGCTGTGGACAATGTTCTTAATATTCTCTATTCAGAGACGACATCACAATACCATGTCCTCATATAATAAAGGGGGTAGACAGTTTTGCTGCAGTGGGGAGTGAATGCAGGTATTAGTTCTATCTCTACCCCACTTCTTACAAATCTAACTAATGACAATCAGAGTAAGAGAGGTGCCTTTTCACTGGGAGGAAAAAGAGCACAAAAGGGTGGGAAGTCAGAAAAACAAAACTGCAAGATAAGCACTGCTGTGCTGGAGACCCACAGCCAAGGGAAAATAGGCAAGATTTTTGAAATATGTATCTTAAGGGCTTAGAATGAGGCGGCCAGAAAATGTGACATTCAACACTAACAGCTTTAAATATATGTATGTATGTATCTCCAATAAAGGCATTAGCCATAATGGGAGTTTTTTTCTTCCAGATAAAAACCCTGTACAAAGTAAATACTGGGACTTCCGACATCTATACAACCATGTTTCATTTGGTCATCATAAAAGCAATGTGCTACCTGTGGGAAGGACTGCATTTCTCCCATGCAAAGATATTGCAATCTTTGCTCAAAAGCAGTGAAATCCAGAAGGAAGTATGGATTGTCCACAAAGGAGAAGCAAATATATGTCTGCTATACAGTAGAGTGATCATGCGGAAAAGCCCTTGCAGAAATGTCTTTTATTACCCTGAGAGCAGTAGATAGCAGACAGAGTTAAAGACATGATCCAGTAAGAAAGAGAAGACATGGGAGAAAAATCTCAACTGCTAGCCATTTTCTCATGCCTATCTTCCAGAAAACCTGCTCACAAAATGCATTTTTTTTCATTTGAAGAAAAGAACAAAAATCTGTCCTGCTTCTGATGCTTCCTATTTCCAGGGCATTGCATCCCATAATCATGCTGCATTCTCATTTCCAGAAGCAGCACCTCCAAAAATGATAAATGGATTCTGCTACTAGCAGAACTGCCAGATATGCACTATGAAGAACAGGCAAAATGTAAGCACAGAGGTGAGGAAAGATAGGAGATTAAGAGATGGCACTGTGCTAAAAGGAATCTCAGCTACTCTACAGCCTCTTTGGCTTGGTGCAGGCATACAGCTTTCCCAACATCTTAAACTACTACTAAGAGATTGTGGAGTATTAGAACTATACTCAGACCTGTTCCCAAATTACAAGGTCAAAACCAATTGCTTTTGTTAACATCTGTTATGTTATACAGGGGCAAATAATTTTTAAAATATAATTTTAACAATATCAACAGCCTTGGAAAATGAAGCCGTGCATCTAATTGCTATTACTTTTAGTTTCACTGCAGATAATGCAAATAAAAGCTGTAGATTTTTGGATGTATGCAATGAAATTTATTGCACTATGTATATTTAGAAAATATACATAGAAAGGGAAAAACAGCAACAAAGCAAAATATATTTTACATCAGTTGTGCATCTCTGTAAACACATATTTGCATAAACTGAAAAAGTATGTTTCACATAATACTTATCACCTTACATCCACACACACTCACTCACAAATATATTTTAAATGACAAATCTAACTGAGCACAGTTGTACCATTTAAAGCATCATCAATTTATTTTGTCCCACCCTGGTACAATAATCACCCACAGATTCATTCTGATTGTCACTTGAAAGTAATTGTAGGACTAGAGTAAAATTAGAAGACAAAGTCTGAGTTAGCAGGAAATTATAAAATAGTCTAAACAGAGAGACACAAAAACATAACATAGCAATAAGTAATTGTACTGCACCAAATACCAATCATTTGTTACAATGGTTCAAACATTACAGACCTTTTCAAGAAGGCTAGCCAAATCTAAATATGAAGAACTAAGAAGTAGTTCTACAATAAACTCCCACTAATAAAAAGGGTCAAATTTCATTTGATAGGGTACATGCCTGAGCCCTAATTGATGTTCCAAATTAGTAAGTAGCAGGACAGCTAATTGCCAATCTAGTAAAATAAGCACATAAATTAAATATTCTCAAAAATACATAATGAGTATCTGACAAAAATGTAAGAACCACAGTGTTTTAATGGACAAGAAGCCACCAATGCCTATATTAATTTCTGCCAATAACAAACTATTTGATGATTTTGGAATATAGCAATAGAAATCGTAAACTAGCTTTGTGGTTAATGGCAAAACTGTGCAAACTGTAATAAATCAAGAAGAGTATTTTCTTCCTTTATGTAAATGTAATACATGCTGGCAGATTTGCCTGTTAGGTGCAATGCATTACTTACAATAGAGGATCTCCACCATTGCAGCCTTGTTTAAGATTAAATAACCTGGGTCCCCAAGACACAGTGTAAGTTGGATATATATCTGAGTAATTGAAAACAGCAGCTTTGCTCAACAAACAAATATTTCTAAAAGTACATATATTTTTTCTGGAACAAAGGGGAATTATTAATAAGTCTAATACAATAAATATTTAAACTGGAACCAACTTTTATGTCCCATTATCCTTTTTAGTAAAAGTAAATGGTTGTGTTCACATGGAAAGTTAAGCCAGGATTCCATGAATGAGCTCTTTCACTCATGCTTGGATCCTTCTGCTAGAGTAAGTGGCTAAACAAACCAGAAATTCTTTGTTCACTATGTTGTCCAATCCCAGGATCCTGGCATGTTGCCTTTTTTACAACCCATATACCGGGGTGCTTCTTGGTTTATGAATCATGACTTGTAAGCAGTGCAAAAAGCTACAAAAACCGTTATCTGGTTTGTGTAGCTGCTCATACTACAGGACCAAGTGGGAGTGAATGGGGTCTGTCTGTGCACCAGCAAGCAACTCATTCTCAGTACCCATCCCAATGCCTTTGAAAAAAACATACATCTTGCCAAATATAAAGCCATATATCAACACTCACTATTCTCTTTTACAAGATTGATTTGGGTTTAAGGCAGCAAAACCCACCTGCTCTTGAACACAGGAATTGTGCACTATACTTATCCTATGGTTTTCTGCACCAACAATGGCATGTTTAGAATGGGGGTTTGGCAACTGCCGATCTGACATAGCATCAACTATCATGGATGTTATACTAGCATTGGAAACATTAGGCTGAGACAAAATGTTTATGACAACAGTTCCCATGCTATACCAGAGAAGGGCTCTACACCACTCAGAGAAGACAGTCCCTGTGCAACATGGGTAAATCCTTTCTCTGACATTCTAGGGCAGCGACATTCTCTCAACAGAGAGAATAAAGATGGAGAGGAATTGTCAAACACAATTCAAAGTCCCGGACTCCTCTCCATTGCACAGAAGCACCATCCCATCTTTGAACCTTGCCTGACAGGACTAAGGGAAAGACAGGATGCTGGGAGGCAGCATTAACTCGGTTCTCTCACGACTGAAAAGAGGACCTTTAGTCAGTGTTCTGGAAGCTGATCAATAAATATCTTATTTTTGAGTGTCAAACAACACATGCCTCCAGTTCTAAACCAAAAAGACACCATGCCTAAGATATCAAAAGCTTGTAAAATATTGGTTTCGAGACAGAACAACAGATAATAATCCATAATCCACTTATTCTAGAATGGCCCCAAAATCCTTTCAGGGACTTCAATTAGATAGGTCTAAAGTAAGTGGTATATGGACTGCAAATCTCATCACAAACACCCAGAACTAAAATGTTAGGTAAACTGAATCCGAAAAAATCAGAAGCACAGCTGCCTCTGCCCTGCTCACAGTGCATGCCCTATTGCTAAATCTAGAAACTGCAGAACAGGGATGTAGTGGATTTAGTAAAAGGGGTCATTTACTAAACTTCCTTGTCACACAGAACAAATTATATTTACATTATTATGAAAATTTACCTGCATTATTCTTTACCAGCATTAAGTTATTTCTACTACTTAATCCCCACCTCTTACCCATTACCAAAAACAAGGATCTGGGGCTACTAGTGATTTTACTGACTGAATGGACTAAAATGATTTATTTAAATGTGTCTAAAACTTACTTGAGTTTAATGTTTGTCGTGTTTTGGCACTTGTGCAGTAAGCTTCAATGACTTTTAGAATCTGAGCATCCTCTTCTAATGCAGCTGTGCCTGTGGGAAAGAAACTTAAAACATTGATTAATTTGGCTAAAGGACCGTGCTAAACAATATCACCCCAAGCAAACATTTGGGACTCACTCACCAATACTTACAATAGCATCACATATGTCAGTATGGTCACAAGGCTATAAAGACTGTCCTCATAGGTCTTGACACACAGATCATGTTTGAACAATAAAATAAAAGTATGAACATACTTTCACCTTCACATACAATTCCTTCACTCCTTTGTTCATGTAAACCAGCAAGCACACTGGGAACTAACTATAGTTTCCCATTTTGCACAAATGGGGAAACTACAGCTAAGAACTTTAATGCCAGGATATTAAACCAACTTCACACTGTGATTTAGTGGCCTGGTTTATTCCAAACATGGACTGTTGACCATGGGGTTCTATTTTGTCTGAACCAGGAAACTATGGTCAACAGCTCTAGAACAAACTTAGACTACTAAGCCACAGCTGGTTTAGTATCTTGTCTTGTTAACCATGATGCCATTAAAAATTGTTCCCAGTTTGGACAAAGTGACAAAGTACAATTTGTGTTTGTTTGTTTATAACTTTTCTAGCCCCTCCCTTACCAAGCTCTCAGAACAGTTTAACAATACAACAATGTAAAATAAAACACAGCATCCTAAAAAATTCCAACTGACAATAAAACCCCAATTAAAACAATCAGATCTTAAAACATTGGGAAAATAAGGTTTTAGCCTGGTGCCAAAAAGAATCAAGTGATGGTGCCAGGCAAACCTCTCTGGGGAGCGAATTCCACAACTGGGGCACCACCACAGAGAAGGCTCTTCTCCGGGTAGTTACTCTCCTAATCTCCTTCAGGGAGGGCACCCGGAGAAGGGCCTCTGCCTCAGATCTTAAGGGTCATGTATGGAAGGAGAAGCTCCTTCAGGTAACCAGGCCCTAAGCCATTTAGGGCTTTATAGGTCATCACCAGCACCTTAAATTGGGCCCAGACTTCAACTGATAGCCAGTGTAGGTAGAAAAGGACCAGCATTGTGTGTTCATACCTGCCAGTCCCTGTTAACAACCTGGCAGCTCTATTCTGAATCAGTTGAAGTATGCACACCGTCTTCAAGCCCCACATAGACTGTGTTACAGTAATCCCATTGGAAAGTTACCAGGGCATGGGTCACCACTGCCAGGCACTGCCCATCCAGATAGGGCCACAGTTGATAGATCAGTTGAAGCTGAAGGAAAGGGCTCCTCGCCACAGCCGCCACCTAGGATCCCAGGGACAGCTCTGGGTCGAGGAGCACTCCCAAACTGCGTACCCTGTCCTTTAGTGTACCCTGTCCTTTACTCATCCAGAACAGGATTGGAAACACCTACCAAGGAGGCTAAACTGCCTACCAGCAGGACCTCCATCTTGTCTGGATTAAGCTTCAATTTATTGGCCCTCATTCAGCCCATCACCAGTTCAGGACCTCCACTGTCTCACCTGGATTAGATGTAAAAGAGAGGTAGTGCTGGGTGTCATCAGCATACTGATGACTCCACAGCCAAACCTCCAGATGACTTTCTGGTTTGCTTGCTAGTTTGTGTGAAGGAGGACACATGACTGTGCAAATGACCTGTTCATATCTCTGTTTATTAAGACAAAATACGATCATCTGAACTCTCTCTCTGCATAGGCACTTCTTCCCATCAATCCTAACACCTTCTAGTAATGTCTTCACCCTGTTGCATAATATGGATCAACTGTGAACAATAACTACCGCTGTCAGTACAGTGCTACCAGCCCCTTTGCTTCCTAGCATGATAACAAGGCAATCTATGAATGGAATTATTTTAAGAGCTCGCTCTTGATACAGCAACCCTATCTGTACAATTGACTGTGAACTAGTGTCTGCTGTCTAGGATTTTAGAACATTATGACTGTATTTATAGAATGAAGCAGCCCATTTAACTTCTGACATGGGAAATACTGTTCAACATCCCCTGTAATCATGATGACCCCATAACTACCAACACGTTTCCTGATGTCAGTGGGATATACATGTGAATCAGTGTGCACAGACATGCGGTACAAGTACTATTCAAATTGGATTAAAAAAGGAGGCCATAATGTATTTAAACAGCTGAGAATGATGGCCTTCATGGGCCTCTTGATGGCCTCCATGGCCCCTTCCAACTCTACTATTCTATGATTCTATAATCTTTTCAACTAATCAAAAGATACGAAAAGTCTCCACACTCTCATGTACCAAAGGGACACTTACTTTTTCTCAATGCAAACTCTTCTTCAGATGGTTTCCGTTCAGGTTTTCGCTTGGGCAACAGTTTTTTCATGGTTTTAGGACTTTTGCTGAGATCCTGATTGGGTAAAATACATGTACCATGAATAACTATGGATTTTGAGACATTCAAACATACCAATAAAATGGAGCTTAATACTACTAACTCATGATTCATATGAACTGTATCCTCACTTTTTCTGATTGTTTCATGCTGGTCCAAGAAATCCATTAAAACAATATATATGTTTTAATGAGTCAATAAAGAAAAACTTGAGCACCAATATGACAGATCTAAATATCAAATTTTCTAACAGTACTCAAGTCAACTAACAAAACTTGTATAAGACAATTTCCTCTGCCCATATTCTTCTCTAATGGAAACAGCCCCAAAGACTCAACATGGCAACTTCCTTGCTTCTGTCATTTGACAAATACACAATTTAAATTCAGCAGGGTATTTATAATGGGAGACCAGCAAACACAAAGCACTTTGGTTCTATTGAGCTATCATTCCAATTTGCACAAATACAAAGATATTGTATTACATATTTGGAATGCTCTCCCCAAGGAGATTCACCTGGTGCCTTCCTTACTTTCTTTTCGGCACCCTGCAAGGACCTTCCTTTTAAAAGTACATTTTAATAACAAATTGCCATAGACCTTTGTTTTGTATGTTTTGCTGTATTTTACTGTTTTTAATGTATGTTATGGTTTTATTATGTTTTATTGAGTTTTTATCTTGCATTGTGAGCCACCCGGAGGTGCCGTGGCACAATTGGGCAGCATACAAATGTTTTAAATAAATAAATATACTAGTCTATCTCAAAACTAGGCATTCTCTAAGATGTGAACAAAAAAGTCATGAACGACCATGACAAGAGGCCCACCAGTCTGAGGCTTGTACTTGCATGCTGGGCCTCCCCTCTGTCTTCACCCTTTATACACCCAATACCTTTTCCTCGCCTCCATCAGACCACACAAAGGGAAGAAAAAGCACACAAGTCCAAGTCTTGGTCACCAATGGCTAAATAAGCATTTGCAGTTATGAACGACTGCCTAATAAAGGCTTCCGAAAAACAAAGAGTCTTGTGGCACTGCAGAGACACACAAATTTATGCCTGGAGTATGATGGAGAGTAAGCTCAGAAGAAAATTAAAAGCAGAAAGAACTGAAAGTGACAAGCACTTTTAGTTGTTCAGATGCAACAGTCTCAAGGTCAGAAACCGATATAAGACTCCTATAAAATCATTAGGAGACAAGACACATTTGTTGGCCAAAAATGCTACTGCTAGGATCTGCAGAACAAAATAGCTCCTCCTGGTGGTCTGATATAGAAGACAGCCTCACTGCTATGTAAGCACTTTCAGGATTGGTATCAAATCAGTGGGTGCCTGCAGGATGAGAACTGGCACTATCATGGAGATCAGTCAGGAGCCATAGGAGGGTGTGCCACATCCATGTGAATTTCGTGTCCCTGAACCTGCTTCTGCCTCTCATCTGACAATAACTTCCTGTGTGCCTTGACTTCTGCCTATACCTGACTTTGCCTTCACCTCTGGGCCTGCCATGTCTAGCTGGTATTTGACCCTCACTTCTTCCTACTCTGCTTCACCTCTGGCCCTACTGCATTTTTCCAAGCTCTCCATCCTTCACCATTCCTGGTCCTGGTGTTCCAGTCAAGGACACCTGCCATTTATGCCCCAGCTTGGCAAATACTGTAAATAACTTGGTCAGTAGTCAGAAAGTGTTGAACAGGTTTTATGAGAACAATTAGTATTTGACCAAGGACTATTTTGAGACTTTGCCTCCATACACTTATTTTAGAAATAGGGAAAACACTGTTGGCTAAAGATCTTTTTCTACATCATTATCTTTATCACTTCATACTTCTATCCCATTTTTCCTTCTCTTAAAAGGAACCCAAGGCAGCTTACATATTTCTCCGACAATCCATTTTATTAGCACAACAACCACCCTGTGGGGTAGGTTATGCTGTGAGTCCATGACTGGCTCAAAGTCCCCCAGTAAGCTTCATGAGTGGTGAGAACCCCCACTAAAAATGAAATAAATGAATAAATAATGAACCAGATTGCCCACCCAATTAATAATTGTTTCAGGAATAGTACTCACTCTCTACCTACTCTGTTCTAATAAGGAATATGGATGAAAAGAAAAAGCTGCATGGTATGAGAAATAATTCAAGTTCCAAAGCTCAGAATAGGTATTCCCACTATCAAGTACAAAAATGCTTTTTAGCTAAAAAGCACTTATTCTGTTAATTGTGATTGACTCAATGCTACCTGAAGCCAAGTTAAAATGCTTTATAAAGCAACTTGATATCTCAATATTATGACCTGCAATTAATTTAAATTTCTGAGTTACTCATTCTCACCTCTTTGTAACAGAGTGCTGCTGAGGGCCGTAATGGAGGTGCTGGCCGTAAACAACTCAAACTCCATGGCTTAGGAGTTTTAGGAGGCTCCAGGGGCCCCCAGTTTATAGTGGTATGAGGCGTCCCATGATGTGAAGGATGTGGAAGAGTGTGGTATACCGGGGTCAATGGCATTTGCTTGCTATCTGCATGTTTGCCAGATGGTGTAACAGGATGTGAAGGAAGCTGCCAGATGCACAAAGATTAGAGGAACAAAGAAAAGGGGTGATAAAAAGGAATTGCCACGTCTAACAATGCCAAATAGCCATCATTATTACATTTCTGACGGAGCCATACAGTAACAGATTTCCTGGAATGGATACCTCTGTCAACATTTAAAGCTATTAAAATGAACTTGCATTAACTCAGTAACAGAATTGCTACAGTTGACCACTTTGCAACAAGCAGTAGGGCCAATTCATTTCTGAATGCAGGAGGGCCAATAATGCATTACAAGAGCCATTGGTGTTGGACAAATGACATGGTTCCTGTCCAGGGCAGTGGCACCAGCCCTCATGAAATGAATGGAGAGAACCATGTCTTTTTCTAATCCAAAGTTTAGTTTGAGGATTTTACAAAAGGAAAGTGAGATCAGTCCATATTTGGCATAAACCCAAAACCTAATCCTCAAAGAAATATATTTCTTGAACTCCAATATGGTTCTAAATATTCAATAGTTCTATCACTACAATTAAGTTATCAGGAGGCATCATTTGTGATACAAACAGTACTTTCTCAAAGTACACACACAACATATTGTGCTTGCTTATTTTAAACTCAACAGGACAAAAGATAGGTGGCCTCTTACCGTGTGAGATGGCACAGAATGAGGTTTAATAACTGGAGTCCCAATGGTTGTTACTTTGGTTTGCTTCTGCAAATGGTCTACCCATTCATGCAAATCTTGTTGGTTATTGCAAGATACCAATATTCGTTCAATCATATTTCCTAGAACCAAACAGAAAAGGAACAAAGATATTCATTCTTTTATTGAAATTATGCCATCAAATTCTCGTGTGAGCAACAGCTGACATATCGAAACACATTGGACACTATCTAATGCACAGGAAAGTTTAAATAGGCACTTTGTGTTAGCATAATGGACCTCTGGCACAACACCAATGGTGTCAGCTGATGTGACAGGATTCTCTAGAAAACCTCTTGCACCAGCTAATGTTATTGGCATTGTGCCAGAAGTCCCTTATGCTAGTGCTTATTAGGAATTAGTACACTACTGCTTTACGTGTCCCCACAAGCCAGCAATTTAACACAGAAGGTGCTACCAGTTAAAGATGTGTATGCTTGGGCCCAGACGTTTAGAAGATCTTCTGATGGCAGATGTGTGCAACTTTCTGGGGCCCAGCAGGCACATGTGATGCCGGTTTCAGGGCCGAAGGCTAAGTGCACTCATTCCTCTCAAGTGTACAAGAAAACACCACGTATGAAGGGCTCTGGGAAGGGAGTGGAGCCTTTCCTCAACTCACTTCCCAAGCAGCCCAGTAAAAAAATCCCTACTGAGAGAGGTTGGAAAAGAGCTATTTGCATGTGGAAGGAAAGCGAGTACAGGCAGCAAGAAACTTGGTGGCCGTGGGATGCAAGGGACAACATCACTGGAGGGACACAATAAACAGCTCAGGGTAACATGAATTGTGCATCTCTGACCTCAGCCCTTTTAAAGCTGTTTGAGTAACATTTGACTACAGTGTCTGTGGAAAATCTGCAATTTAAGATTTATGGCCAAGAATGTATACCTGAATGGTTCCTATGACTGCTACAACTTTTTAGAAAACTAACGTTCCAAGATAATCCTGTGATAATAGGCTAATCTGTTTGGCAAAGAACATGGCTTCTCAGCTTTTTGCTTGTGTTACTCTTAGGAAACGATAATACACTTTCAGTGCCTGTCATTTAACTTTCAGGTACAATTCAAACTGTTGGTTTTGATATTTAACACCCTAAAGGGCTTTGGTACAGTAAGTTTTTGGAGAGCGTGTGCTCCAAATGAACTCCCCTGACATCCTCTGAGGAGGCTGTGCTGCAAACATTATCACAGGAGACTTTGGAGTGCTGTTTCTGGCACTTTCTCCTTAAGAAAGCCCACTGGTCCTCAGAACATTCAGAACACTTTTGTTTCACTATGATGAAGAGGATTGTTAATATTGGCTGGTGCATGTATTGTTTCTATGCAATTGTTATGGTTTTGGGGAGATTTGCCAGGCTGTTTCAGTTAGGGAAGCCTTGAATTCATATTGAAAGAAGGAAAATCAATGCATTTTGAAAAATGAATAAACTACTAATAGTATGACAGATTATACAAAAAGATCACTTAAAATACCTTGTTGTTCATTGCAGCATATAAATGAATGATCTGGAGCAGGAAAGGGTGGGCAAAAAATACACCTCCAAATGCTTTGGACTTCAACTGTCAGCATTCCTGACCACTGTGGCAAGAATTTCTAGAAGCTGAACCCAGAAACCTACCTCTAGTTTAAAGGGTGTAATATATGCTGGGCTTTGAAGAATCACACTGTCTGAAGCATAAATGATATGCATGCATGTGTATAAACAGGAATGGACAAGGAGATTACCTGATATTTCAAATGCATTTCTGTGATTTTCACTATCTTCTAGCTTTACAATGGTCATCCCTGTCAATGGCAGCTTCCCCTAAAAGTAGATAACACCAAACCACTATTTACATAAAATACAAATACATAAATACACTCAATGGATAACGAGCATATAAGCATTAGGACGCCTCCCCACCACCAACTGAAGACACATTCTTATTGACCATGAAGAAAGGTCCTCTGTGCTCAGGATCCAAACTGCATTTGTGCTGCCTCTATGATCCTAAATCAATGTATCCTTTGCAGCATGTAGGCAGATGATTCAAGTGGCCCAAAGATGATACAAGAACCCAAAATGTGTAGATAATAGGGTGAATCTAGACTTAAGTCACAATTAGGGAAGACTCTCTGAAATCAATGGGATTTGAGTTAGTCATGGTTAATTTAAGTCCAACTGATTTCACCAGGTTTAAGTGTGACAAAGTCTGGTCCCAAAAAAATGTAAAAACATCACAGAGACCAATATTATATTAAAGCTTCTTTTACCTGATAGATAAACCCACTCATCCGAGGGCTGGCAGACAGCATGAGCAAAATGTTAGGAAAGAGAAGAAGGTATCTTTCATTCTTTTCCTAATATAAAAGGAGGAGAGGGGAAGCATTAAAATATAGCTAACATTAAGCAACACAGCAAAACAAATTCAGATTGGCACAGTGTGATCCCAAACACTATTTTTCTTCTATCTTCATGATTAATTCAGCCATACATTTGTTATTTTCGGAAACAACCCTGCTTCCCAAAAAGGATATTCTTTCAAATAGGGTTGCAATCTCTAGATCAATGATACAGCATTAAGAAATGATGTTTTAAAAACTAGAGAGTGGCCTAAGAGAAAGAGGAGTTTGTTAATGTCCCTCCAAAACCCGCCTCAGTGTATGCTGCAATGAAGTGAACCTCATGCTGTTAAAGTTATGCTACAATGTTTATTTCACAGGACAGGCTTATACATTTTCTTCACTTTTACATTATTTCTTTCATAATTCCCCTGGACATTTCGTCCATCCTTAACATTTTTCTTTCATAAGCAAGAACAAAAGGGAAAATATTAAAAAGTGAAGAAAGTCTGCAGAAGATCCTTTTGCAGAAAGTTACACTACTAAACTTGTATTCAAATGAATTCCTAGCAGCAGTCTAAGAACTTAGGAAAGCAAAACTGCCATACCTCACTACCAGTACATTGAATCATGACTTGTGACATATAAATAACATTCCCAAGTGTTTTAATGTCCTCGCCTTCCCAGCAGCGGATAGCTTCTGTTAATATTTGGAGTTCAAGGTCCTTTCGTTTCCTTACTTCTTGACATTGTGCCTATTAAATCAGAAAATACCATTTAACATTGTATAGGTGCAAATGGAGCCAGTACCTGTACTATGTTTCTTTTTAGTTTAAATCAACTACTGTACAAGAGGAACATTTACCTTCAAAGCAACAGCAGTCTGCTGGTTAAACAAGTGCCAATTATCCTCTATATTTTTCTTAGCAGAGATGGTGATAGAGGGGCACAAGGACCGCCCAGATTAGATGATGAGTCACTGTCACTTCCAGTAAGCACACTCCTTATTAGAAGTAAACAGCCCAGTGAGTGCCAGCTATTAGTCTGTATAGAAATGAGGAGGAGGAGGAGGTGGTGCTGGTGGAAGCCAATGCAGAAAACTCAGAAATTGCAGGACAGGTCTTCTAACATGAATACCAAAGAGTGTATTTTCCTCCTGCCTTTTTCTTTTTCAGTTTTTCTAGCAGCACATCTCAGCTTTCCTTGAGTATCATGCCTACCTTATCCTGTAAGCCTATAAGCAAAGGCTCTGTTAACTTATCTGTTCTAAGCAGAGCACATACCTGCTAAAGGCATTTGAAAAATACAGTGGTACCTTGGCTCACGAACTTAATCTGTTCCAAGACTCTGGTCGTGACCCAAATTGGTCATGAGCCAAGTTAAATTTCCCCATGAGGTTCGATGTAAATAAGGTTAATCTGTTCTGTAACCATTTTTTAAATCAGAAAAATGTGAAGCAAAGTGACAACAACAAATATCATGGCCATCTCCCCACCCCCCCAAGCGCGGCCATCTCCCTGCCACCCCCCAGCACGACCGAGATCACGCCTGTCATCCCTGCAGGCGCCCATCTTCCCGGCATGCTGGGGGGTGGGGGGGAGAGACGGGCGTGATCGCGGCCGCAATGAGGGAGGGAGAGATGGGCGCAAACAGTGCGCTGGGGTTGGGGAGATGGACTCGATTGCATTTCCTTTAGTGCATGGAAGGTGTCCGTGATCAGAGGCGTGCTCCTGCAGAAAAGACAGGCGGAATCTCAGCCACCTCCCCCATGGCTCTGCTTTGCTGCACCTGTCTTTAGTGCAGCCGCGCGCCTCTGATCACAGACGCCTTCCCTGCACGAATGGAACTGCGATCGTGGCCATCTCCCCATGGGGGGGGGGGGGAGATGGCTGCAATCTTGTTCGCCACCCAAAGTGGTGTTTGCGACCCAAGTAAAATTTTTTCAGTAATTTTTGTTTGTGACCTGTTTTGTTCGTGAGCCAAGGCATTCGTGAGCCGAGGTACCACTGTATTATTTAAGTGGGTTCATTTTTAATGACTGCTCCAAGCTGGCGTTCCACTTAAAATAAAATGAAACTCATTCCCACCAAACACAGTAAGATTCTCCTTACATGGAATATAGAAATTGAAGATGATATCATCATCATCACATTGATGTCCCACCTTTTTTCCTCTTGTGAAAACCTAAGATGGCTTACATAGCTCCATGTAGGGTAGGCTGTGAATATGTGACTGGCCCAAAGTCACCTGGGGAGCTTCATGGCCAGGTGGGGGACTGGAATGCAGATTTCCTGGGTCCTCAGTCCAACATCTACCCACCACATTCCACTGGCTTACATGGACTCAGCTTACTAAGTTAAATCATCTAGTCTGACCCCTGGCTCCACTCATGTAATCCCCAACATGTGGTTGCCAATCTTTGCTTGAACACCCTCACTGATGGGGCCTCAACCACTTCCCTTGGAAGCCCATTCCATATCCTAGGGGTCCTAACCGTCAGGAAGTACTTCTTGACATCCAATCTGAAGCCTGGTTCCTTGAGCTTTCCTTGAGCTCCACTGGAACATGTCCTGCCCTGCACTGCATGCAGTTCACTTGGCCAACCTTCGATCTGCAGAATTTTATACAGGCATGTGCAAGGAATACATTTGCAGGTGGCAATCCATTGGATCCCCTAGGCTTGGCCCAGGGCCAAGTTCCTGGGCTCTTGACAGGAACTGGCCCCATGTTCTGAGAAAGCAGCACCCCCTCCCCCCTTTGCAGGACCAGGCTGAGCACAAAAGGAAATCTGCGGAGGCCAGAGGGAGATTCCAAAAGGGTCCCTCTCAACCCTACATTTGTGTACATGAGGGCCTCATTTCTCCCCTTTTCCGGTGGCCTGCTGGACACCTGTCTCCAGATTAACACTACCAATGGAAACATTCTTTTTTTTGCTATTCCAGTGCTCTCCACTGTCACCCTCCAGCATTGCTATCATGACCTTGTGAGATTATTTCATATTATATGTTCTCTTCAGCTTGACTTTTGTTTCCCAACTTACTTACAGAAAGATTTTTGAAGGCTGTCATGGATTTCTGAATGTCTGGTCGGTCTTGATGATAATCCTAAAAGGAATTTCAGAGGCAAATTGCTTTGTAACATCTGCTTAAAATATACTTAACCCAGCTAAGACACAGATATAGCAACTACACTTCTTTAAGCAACAGATCTCCTGATCAGTTCATTTTAGAAATGCCTATGCCTACAGGAGAACACTCAGTTGACAGACAGACATTTATGGATACCCCTTCAGTTATCATTACATAAATACTATTTATTCCAGTTTTCCTACAGCCAGGAAACTGGCAATCTTAACAGAAATGAGAATCTGAAAAAGAATTTTGTTCCAACTTAGGTGTTTCCAAGTATGACAAATGATACCTACAACTGAAATTCTAATGCTCATTAAGACTTTAAAATTTAAGCTAACATTTCACACTAGCTATCTATGTTGTCTGATGCTGTCAACCCAATAATATTAAACTAAGTTTGGTAGTACGGACTTGGACCACATCTGATTAATTATATTTTCTCAAAAGCAAAATTTATAATGCAAACACTAACACTGTTGAGTAATACTTATATATAAACTGCTAAAAATCTAGTAGAGAAACTGTACAAAAGTTATACATTTCAGAATAAACTGGTTCAACATTCCAAACTAGAGGACTGAGCAATCAGCAGCATGTTCAAAGCTATTTCTCAGTCTCCGCTTGAGCCCACTTGATGAGGTACCAACTGCTCCCAAACTTAGAGAAAAGTCAGACTAGGCCTCCAATCCAAAAAAATGAGGGATTGTTCAAAAATAATGCTACAAACTTAATCCCAATTTTTATGTGCAAATCCTTGCATACTTCTAAAGAGGTTCTATGAAATTACAGCCTAGCTGTCAATTTTTAAAAGCAAAATCAGCACTTGGCCTGTTCAGAACCCTTCTCATGTACGACGTGCAAGAGAAGCTCCCAGAGGCTTAGAAGAAAGTGCACAGATTAAGGAATGTGGCAGTGCACCGACATTACAAAGGTATCACAAAAGTGGGCAGGCCGGACAATCCTAGCGGTAATACCTGTGACCTTTCCAGACTATTACTTCCCTTACATCAGAAGACTGACAGCAAGTTGGGACCTCCCCACCTTGAAATGTACCTTTAAGATAGTTGTTGCCAATTCATCATTAGCTAGAACATAAAACTGCTAATCTATACCTCCATGTGTCTTTCAAGTTCTTTGAGTAATGTGGGGTATTTATCCAGGCGCATGAAGGGCTTGCTCAGGCCTGTGGTCAATACAAGAATCCCAGGACTGTTGGCTCCTTTCATCTCCATGAATTCTCCTAGCTCTTCACTGTTAATATAATAAATAAATTTGAAACAAAGAATTACAATCCACCAAACTAGAAAGAAATACATCATTCTATTTCTTCTGAAATTAGAGACACACAAAACAAATGTATGAAGAAACATGTTCTTACATGATTTCTTAAAATGAAAAGCTCATCTTTCTTCCTCTATGAATCACAATTAAAAGACTTTTTTAGTTTGAGAATTAAATCAGAATGATAAATAATGAAGTATTTAAAGTAATGATCATCATATAACATAGTACCCTCAATGGGAGATAAAGTGCAAAATTAACAGATCACTTCCAAACTTGTGCATTTAGGATTAAGCTCTATAAAAGTTCAAGAGAGCTTACTCCCAAGCCTGCTTGCAAATAATCAAACCCTTAAAGAACAATTCCAAAGACTTGTTCTACCAAAATATTACAGGTCACAAAAGATAGTCCACACTTTGAAAGGAGCATGAGGGCTTTGAAAACACTTCCATTCTATCACAGATTTTCAAGATCTGTCTGCTTATAGCTTTTAATGGCATATGATAGGTTATGTCCACTATTTTAATTCAATTTAGTTAATAAAAATGCTTTAGATATTAAAATTGTATATTTCTATATACTGATTTTTTAGCTGTTTTAAACTTGCACTTTTGTTGTATTTGTATTTTTATTGTATCTTTTGTATTTGATTGTTTGTGAACCTCCCAGAGAGCTTCAGCTATTGGGTGGTAAATAAATAAATAAATAAATAAATAAATATTATTTAAGTCTACTTTTGTTTTCAATATATCCTGACAATTTAAGCTAGTTGTTTATTATGTTATTATATTGGTGGCATTTGTAATTACATAAATTGCCCAGAATATATTTAAGGGTATGATATAATTTATATACATAAACACATTGAACAAGAAGCTGAATAGCAGGCATTTCTAAACATATTTGGAATGTAAGACAAAGTACACTTTTAAAAACCACCATAACAACTCCATTTGTGCAGCCTCAGATCTCTCACAACAATTTTGTCCACCCTAGCACAGTACAAAGAATGTCTAGAAAACATTTGCCAACAGTTCTTCCTGCCCACACCACAAAACAGCTTTTTAGCATGCATGCATAAAGTTTCCCTGAAAGTCTCATCCACTACCTACACAATGTCACACTTAACTCTGGCATGCTCTAAACGATAAACCAATGAATAGAATCACATTACACATCCCTCTGACTGGGCACTAGATAACAGCCAAACTTATAGCTACCAATTGTATCTACATTCTTTTAGAGAAAAATAAAATATGTTCACACATGATGTGACTATACCAATCATCTGATAACCTGGCAAACTTCAAATGACTTCAGATCAGAACCAGTTTACACAAAAAGAAATCACATGTGTTCATAGTTATATGAAAGCGCCTTCCAAGATTAATCATTGTAACTAGATCCGCCATAATATGAAATACTGAAATGCCAGGCAGTTAGCTGAAAGCTCTCAATCAGTAAAGTTAAAAAGTACAATCTCCATGGACAGACGCAATAAGGTGGACTGAGGAACCAGCTATGCAATATGTCTTAAAAAGCACTCTACCCAAAATGTGACTGACAGAAGACCAGGAGCATTGTGGGATTGGTGCACTCCATCTTCCCTTTGCTCTCCCTGCAGGTATCCCAGGGGACACCACAGGAGGACCAAGGTTACCCTAACCCAGTCACAAGCTGTTTCGGGTTTGCTACAGTTTGATGTTTCACTTGTAATGTTTGTGGGTGCTTTTAAGCCTACTTTTATGATCCCCATGTGGGCATCCAAGGGATTCCCCTTCAAGAAGCTCCTATGGTACCCTGAAAGGGCTGCTGGTGGTCCTCCCTTTGTTTTTCCTTTTTAATGTTACAGCAAATAACTGTACTCTTTTTTTAAAATCTTCATGGCACATTTTCCAAATTAGGCAGGGCAAGTGAGAGCAAGAAGTTCCTGGGGTAGGTATAGGTATGCTCATGACCCAAGTCAGCATGCACTCATTTTGTGCAGTCACCAGCCTGAGCTTCACATAATCATCCCCCCTGCAACACACACTTTGAAAGCCTCTGAAGTTCAGACATATCCCGAAGGCTTGCAGCGTCCTGGGAAATCACAGTCCCCCTCTCTTGCAGAATGATCCTTGCCTTAACTTAGGAAAGATCAGATGTCAGTTCAAAAATGGAGTTCTGAGCTTGGCAGATCAGAACTGTGTGGTATTCCCTAAAGTTTTGCAGCTCCCTGAGGTATGATCATCCCAAGGACAACTGCAAAAGTGAGGGAACTTTGGGACATGTGGAAAATGAGAGAATTGAGGAGGTATCCTCCAAAACACTGCTTTCTACACCGGGGGGCGGGGGAAGCCCAGAGACACACGAGCACTCCAAAACCCTCCAAAGGATTCTTTTGTAAAAAGTTCTTTCCAACCTCCCCACCCACTTTTTCAAAAAACTATTTAAAAGTCAAATTTGCAAAGTATTGCAATGCTGAATTTTGTCATGTACAGATGCTGAAAAACAGACTGCACACATTGTCCCTTTTTACAAATTGCTATCTACTGGAACTTCGCAAGCCTCTGGCCTGTTAGGATATGTTCATCATGTCAAGAGTCATAAAGAAGGGAGAAATACTCACCTGCAGCCTGGGATAGATAATATATTCAGGGTAGATTTGGCCAGCAGGTACCCCCTTGGTGAGTTCCTACCCCAGGGAGCCCCTGCACTAACCTGTCCTAACTAATCTGCACAATTTACCATAACAAAAAATGAGCAAAATTATTTCTGTACATTAGCATAACATTTATTCATAAAGAGGGGATTGACCACAGGTAGCCCCTTCAAACTACTGCAGGACTCCTTGGAAGGGAACTTTGTGGATGTCCAACACGGGTGTCTCAAGAGCCAGCTTAACAGCTGGCTTTTGGAATCCCAAAAGATGCGTTAAAATTAAGAGGTCAAGGTGTGGCAAGCCTAAAACGATTCATAGCAGGGAGAGTGAGAATCCTTTGCTAGACGTTCCAAGTGCCACTTCAAGACTTTTAGGGTATCTGGCAATGAATGATCACTTGCTGGTCCCCTGGCAAGAAAAGAAAGGAGATTTTGACATTCTAGCTATGCAGCTTGCTTGCAGTTGGGCTTGACCCATGGACAACTCAGAGCAGACGTAACAACTTCAACTAAAAGCCTTGAGTTGTCAGGGTACCTTGTAACTGAAAAAATAAGACCCCCTCATAAGGCCATCTGGGTTCACATGACACAACAACCTACTGTGGTTTATAATCTAAGGTGGGTTATCATAGTCATGTGAACCCAGGCAGTGAGAAATGGGCTTCCATCACCATGAGATAAAAAGAAATAACACAGCAATGGAAGAAAGGGAAAAGCCAGCCGGAAATATAAATACTGCCTAGGCCAATGGCAACAGCAGCAGGCAGTCTAACCTAACAACCTTCTTTACCTGTCCAGTCCACCAGGAGAAAGCAGCCCTGTGAAAAAATAGTACAGGAATTTCCCAGCTAGTCATTTTTAGTGGCATGGAATGTTTCGTAAGAATCATCTGCCTCTACGGGGAGAAGAGTTATTCCTAGAACACACCCCCATTGCCAGTTTGCATAAAAGGCAACCTATTTTGCAGGTGTTCAATACTCTCCCTCTCCCCCCTCTAGTTCAGTCAAATTAAACAGTGGTGGTATCTCAAAGTAATCCACTGAGGTCTCTCAGGGTGTCTTGCAAGGATTCAATGACATTGCCACTGACATGTCCAAGGGTCAAGAATGCAGGAAATTGTTCTCTAAAACATTTGATGGACACCAGGTTGGAAAAAGCTACTTGATGGTTAAGAGAGGCACATTGGAAAAGGTGACCAGGCCTTTCTCTGCTAATCTTCTCATGGACAAGAGTATTCAAGACTACACATTCCTACTCCTCTTAAGTGCAACTCTTCCTGAGAACATTCCTCTATTTCAAAAGTAAAATCAAACTAAGAAAACCCCTCCAAGACCATAACACAGTATATACAACAATCAGTACTTCAAAAAAGAATACTGCACAAAAGGCTACATACATATCATACATATATGTAACAAGGAAAGATTTCTTACAATTTGAATATCTGAACATTCCAACAAAATAGAGATCTTGATTTTCATATTGCTTCCTACAGTGCACTAAAGTCTCAGAAAATAGATTTCTGTAAATGGTGCTCTGGTTATTAAATAACTTTGCAAGAGAAAAACTGTTATTAGATTTGAAGCTTCTAAGCAATCTGGAGACTATGTATCAGTTATTTCCTTAGAGGATTATTAAATTTATAAAATCAGCATGATTAGTTCAAGAACGCAGCTGTTTTGACAAAGACAATAGCTCTTTATAACAATTTGGTCTAAATGCTGCTAAGTATTGAATCTCCTCTGTATTTAGCTAAAATAGCACACAAGAATCAAAACAAGATACAGAAGAGATAATCATTGATTTAAGAAAGAACAAGTAGACCTCTGGCATAAAAACAATACATGCTATGACTAAAGTCATAAAATCCATTTTTTAATTCAAGACAGACCAACTAAGAAGAATAAAGCAAGCACAAACATGACTATTACAATGCTGTAACACTACTGGTACATGAAATCTCTGCTTTAAAGATTGCCCCCATAAGTTATGCTGTTCTTAAGATCTGTGGCTTCAGCAGGTTTGCCTGGAGTCAGGAAGGCATTAAAATATAATCTACATCTAATCTGGATCTATATGAGCAACAATTTTAATGCATAAAATCACTACAAACTAGGAAGGATGCCTGAAAATATTAATGCACCTACAACTACATGTAGAACAGGAAACAAAAGCAGCATATCATTCCCAAATGAGTGCAAAACATTAAAAGCTGTAACTTACACTTCCACTTCCTCCCTATAATAGATAGAACATGAACTGTCACTGCTGAACGGTCTAAAGATGTCACAGAGACAATGCATGCCGAAAATGCTCCAGCAAAGCCTTGGCTCACTTAACGACTCCAAGGCTTTCTTAGTCTCTGGTGCTGCATTTCTAGATAGAATGTCTTATTCTTGGGCTGTTGCTTCAAGTATGACATCACCCTCTGTTAGCAGCCTTTGGGAAACAGAGTGGAGGAGGGACAAAATGTTCTGTGACTCAGATGCTTATCTGTATTCCATGCTCCAGCTATCTCCCCTGTGTGTTTTTAAAGCATCCTATTATGAAATTCAGTATCATCAAAAATAATGCTGTAAGTGTAATAAAGTAACCTGAAATTAAGTTCTAAACATAGCAGCTAACATTATGCAAACTGTATGTTGTTTAAGTGACCAGTTCAAGCCTTGCTTCTATCAAAAACAAAACCAAAAACGATTGCTACCTAGAAATGTGCAGGATAAATTTTAAGTTTTCATTCCTTTCTATCCCTAGTCTAGCAAAGTTGCAGTGAGTTGTGCAAGACCTTGCTTGTGGAACATCTTGCACAAGCAGAAGCAAAATACTGGATTTGACACTTGTGCAAAGATGAAAATTAGGGTTTCCATAAATGGCTAAAGCTTGCACTAAAAGAGTGACACCATAAAATACAATATTCAGAACACTCAGCAGGGATGGAGATGGACAGAAGCATTCACATTCCTTCTAGGCCAGAAATGTTCTACTGATAAAGGTGAATAAATTAATGTTCCTGCCAGTATACTGTTGATCATTTAAAACATCAGATTAGAAAAGGCAACGATGCTCATCTGATCAAGCCTGGAGACAAAACTCAATCTTCCCTGAAATGCAGTTACCATAAGGGTGGCATGACTGCAACCAGCTGGTTTCTACTGCCTGCACAATGCACAATCAGATCCAGTCAGCTCCATAGCAAGCTAACATAACCTAGCTGTTGAGAACAGCAAGTGAAACCTGAACCCTTGAACTTCAGGAATGAAGTAGAAAGCTTAAAGCTACCCAAACCTTTGACTTTTGAAAAAAGATGAAAATCCTAAAATCTTATTAGGAAGGGTGAACATAGTCTGCTGTTGACATAAGAGCCTTGAGAATGCACAGGGGTAGATAAATTAGAAAAAAGGTTTTCTAATTTTTAGGCTTTTCTACACAGTCACGCATTTAAACACAAGCCTAAAAAGATGATAAAGTTGCTTCCACAGAAGCCAGGGATAATCAGGATTTTTTAAAAAGCAGGAATCATTGTTTCTAAAAGCTGTCCAAAGCTACTTTAGATTACAGTATTATCCCCTCTTCTGTCCCTGAGCAAACATTCAGGTGTTCAGGCATGTACACATTCATATGCTTGAATTTAAGTTTAATTCACTATGCAAATATAGCATCAAAATGTACAATCCTCTTGCTTTCGGTAATACAACAAATGCATATTCTTGCATCTGGGATCCTGAAAATATTATCCTCTTGCAGGGACAGAGAACACATAGGCCTCCAGATGTTGGACTTTAACTTCTATTATCTCTCACCATTGGCTATGCTGGCCAGGGTTGAAAACAGACAGACCAACCACATTTGAAGGCGCCCATATTCCCTACTGCTTATTCAATGTTTATAATAGTGTAAGAACAAGAGCAGCCCTAATGGATCAGACCAAAGGTGCACTTAGTCTACATCCTGCTTCCAAAATGGTCCAGCCAGATGCCTCTAGGAAGCCAAGAAGCCTAACAAGAAGGCAATCATCCTTCCCTGCTCTTCCCCACAGCAGCTGGCATTCTTGAGCATACTGCTTCTAAATAGGGACGTTCTACATAGTCATCATCTTCATTTTTTCTTTAACAATTTATCAGTCCCTTTTTAAAAAGCATAGCATAGCATAGCATTTCTTGTATCCTTGCTACACACACACACACATACCTGTGTTCTGTGAGAACAGTTACAGCTGATGGGTGGTTGGCACAGTACGCAAGGTATAAATTTTTCATCTGTGGCATCAAATTTAGGAAGCAACCACCAACCCTCTGCTGAGCTTCAGGCAACCTGAAATAATAGCAATGCCAATGCCATTTTTGAAAACATTCCGGACTTAAGACTTAATACACTCTAAAAGAATCACAACAGAGTAGCCATCTATTCTTCAAGCCTCAAAAACCAAATGCAGTTTCTTAACAAAAAATTGGACAGAAGCGGAGGAGTTGTAGAACTGGTGCATTTGTTCAGCCATGAGTTGAACAAATATGCTAAAGGGTTGAAAGAATATTTTACTTAATTTAGCCCAGGTCATGCATATTCTAATATATCTGATAATCATTATGTGTTAGTCTGACTTGCATTTTTATAAAAAAATACTTTTGCACTATTGGCTCACTACTAAGGCAGAGTGATCTGATGGTTGCTACAGTATCTGAGGGTTCCTGGACGCAAGGGTTGAGAGTTCCAGCCCTCCACTCCAACAGCCAGCTCATAAAGAATCATGCCAGCTTTTGGCCAAGGTCAGGAAAGCCACTTCAGAAAGAGGGAAGGAACAGGAACAGGAAAGGCCAGGATAAATGTTATCCTGAGGCCTCCCCAACCTCCTTCCCTCTCCCTCTGCAACACTATCCTTTAGACAGGCAAAAATGCCCATCCAGCAAAAATGCATGAGGATGGGGAAGCAAAGCTCTAGATGATCCTGCTGCCTTGCACTGGAGGTATGCAATTCTCCAAGATCAGGGGCTTTCAAACTTCTTAATAGGACTGTGGCCTAAGAAAGTGTCCACATCTAAGAGAGAGGTGTGTATGTTTAATAAATGCGCACCATCCAAGGCTATAAGGCAGGGATGGGGGATATACTTTTAATGAAAACTGAGCACACAGGAACTAATGTGACCCTCTCCTCACCTTACCTTTTTTGGTGTGCTTACTTGAAAATGGTGCTATGCTTAATAACATCCCCAAGAGGTTTTATTTTTATTGCTTACTCAGAATATGTCTGACCTGAAAACCAGTTTGACATAGTAAATGCATCTATCATCAACAATTAAACAACATGTGGCAGTGAACTACAAATTTCTTTTCAAGTCAGGTATTATTCATTACTGATTTGCTAGTTTGTAAAGTACATACTTGGTGCATTCTTCTAATGACTGTACAAGCATCTGCTGAAAAGAACTGATTTCTTCTAGATTTCCCATTAAATACGAAGTATCAGTAGAGTTTAACCTGGAGCCATGGAAAAAAATAAGACTAAACATTTATGGAAAAAAGACCTCCCATGATCAGAAATGTTGCTTACAACCAGGAATGGGCTTCTGCTCTGGGAGTATCCATTCCTTTTCATCTTCCCCCCAATTTTCCTTTGGTCCCTGGAAGTTCCCACTTGGACTCAAGAAACTACAGAGGGATTAAAACACATCAGAATTCTTCCTCCAAAACATACATTCTGTAGCCAACATGTCCAATGGCATCACAAAGCTCTCTACTCCCTACCCACTTCTGTTCAATAAAAGGCTTAAAAAACTTTCCTTTTCCCTTTCAGCTTCTGGCCTTGCTTTTCTCCCCACCTCTTTAGTCCAGTTTCTCTGCTCCCTAACCTCTAGTCTTGCTCTTTCTCTTTCTTCTGCCCGTTTGCTTTGCTATTCCCACCCACGGAGTCTCCAGCTCAAATATTTCTCTCTTCCCCACCACATTAGGTTACTTTTGCCTCACTGAACCCATGGCAGACATTATGTGGTAAGCCACATCCTCCAGGAGAGCCATTTTATGCTGAAGCATAGAACAGCAGTATACATCTTTAACTAAAACCATACAAGCCCCTAGGAGCCATTGGCTATATCATCTCAGAATGCTCACAAACTTTTAGCTGCCATATGGAAAGACCAAGGCCAACCTAAAGGCTACCGCCCCTGTTGTGCGGTCCATTTGGTAGACATAATATTGGTGTGATCTTCATTGTAGCACCATAGACACTACCTATGATGGAATGATCTTAAAACAGGTGCTGCTTGCCCCTGCCTCTCAAGAGTGCCAGTGTAGAGAAATGTTTTTCAACAGCAAAATGTACTTACTTTTCACTAGCTTGTAAGGGTCGCAGGTAGTTAGAAAGCATGGTCTGTAGTTCCTTAGCATACTCATTTTCAGTTTCTAGAATGTTCTGTAGCACCTATAACATATGAATGTTGTGATTGTAATTTTAAAACTACAGAGAGAGAGACACACACACAGACAGAAGTAAGTCTTGGCAGGTGTGCCACATGTCAGATAAAAGTGTGTGAGATACTGCCATTTGCCACATCTCTCCTTTCTGCCTTGCTGAGGTTTGGTACAATTTACAGGCAGCAGGAGAACAAGGGCAGCGATGTTGGAGACGCCAAGTCTTATTAACCTGAATAACTATACAGTCTCCCAATCCCCCTTTTCATGTCCTCTAAAGGTTGTTATAGTATCCTATTCAGTAGTTCAAAGGCATGCATACATATGTACGTACGCGCGCGCGCGCGCACACACACACACACACAACATTCAACAAAAACAGGATGACTTGAGCAGAGAGTAGGCACAGCCAGGCATACAACAGAATACAGGCAAATAGGCAGGTTGGCCATTAATGAATCTCCTAAGACAGAGAAGATATGGATCACCCCCAAGAGGTGGTTAAAAAAGTGCCTATATTCACATAAAATTTACATGTGTTGATTTATAGGTGCAAACTTGGAACTTATTCTTATAGTTTGAATAGAAAAATAGTGAATATCATCATAGCATAGAAGCCTTTTAAGCAGGAGGCCAAAGTGCTAGCTGTTCTGTTGCCTAGATGCTAACTGTTGATGGACAACCGTTCTTATGGGGGTCATTATTTTCAAACTGAAACTGGACAAGACAGCCCTTCAAATAGAAAACATCTTATATTTCTGTTTGTTTGTTTGTTATTAAGTTTCTACCCTGCCCATTGACCAGATGACTCTCTGGGAGGCTTATAGAATGTAAAAGCAACTGCATATACATAAACAATAATATCAAATTGGACGTATACATATTACAACAATAAAGTGAACAGCAACAAAACACAAAAAACCCATAATAAAACCTCACACAACCACAATTCAATTGAACCAAAGACACAAGAATACAATAAATACCATATAAAAATATATTTAAAATCTTTGTTAAAATACTGGATGAATAAAAAGGTCTTTGCCCGGCATCAAAAGGAATAGAGAGAAGTTGCCAGGTGAACCTCTTTTGGGAGCAGATTCCAAAGTTGGGGTGCCACTACTAAGAAGGCCCTTCTCCTCGTAGCCACTCTCTTTGTTTCCTTCAGAGGCTGCTGAGAAGGACCTCTGATGATGATCTTAGGGTCTGGGTAGGCATATATGGGAAGAGGTGCTCCTTTAGATAACCTAGCCTCAAGCTGTTTAATACTTTACGTATTAATGTTAGCACTTGGAACACATGGCCACCCTAAAAGTGGGATTAGTTCCTCTTTGGATGTGGAAAAGGTAAGATTTCCCATATGCACTAGAATCGCTGCACTCTGAAAGAATAGCTATCTCCTTGTACCACTTTATACTTAAGGCTGATATCCCTTTCACAGCCTGATTTGTTACTGCTCTGGTAGCACCAAAATAGCGTGATTGCCTTCCCAGAGTTCCTACAAAGTTCAGATGTCCTAGACTAGCTACTTTATTCAATGCTGCAGTTTACAGTCTGTTTGGGATATAAAACCGTTGTTCATGTCTGTTTTCTATCCCTAGTGACATGCTGAACTGATGAAACAAGTGACATGCTGAACTATTTAAAATGGAGACTCCAGTGCTTCTTTCATTAGTGTGGCTGAACTCTGTTTTATTCCCTTGAATAGGCCTATTCAGCTGAAGAGGGGAAGAAAAGGGAAACCATTTCTGAGTTCATTCTTTCGCTGGTAACTTGACTCCTGCCCCAAAGATTAAAATGTCTCCATTCTGCAGAAACACTACAAAAAACAAATGTCACAAAGAACACACAAGCTATTAATTTGTCAGTTACAAAAGTGCAATACCACACTCGCAAACAAGTAGCTGAAGGATTAATAAATTCTATACTGGAAAACAAAAAGACAATGATGAAATGAAAGTAGAACATTACATTATCACACACAAAGCCAAAAAATTAGAAAATGGTTGCCCACTGCAAAAGGAAAATAGCAACAACAAAAACTGCTACAGGAGGTAGGGATGGGAGCCCTGTAACAAGGACCTAGCAGAATCATTTGGTAAAGTTTCCAAGTATTTTTTTTCCAATTCATATCCTGCCTTTTTCCTACAAAGGGCTCAAGGCAGCTTACATCATTCTCCTCCTCCATCTTATCCGCACAACAACAACCCTGTGAGGTAGGTTGGGCTGAGAGTCTGTGACTGGCCCAAAGTCACCCAGTTGGCTCCATGGCCGAGTGGGAACTCGAACCCAGATCTCCTGAGTCCTAGTCCCATGCTCTTAACCACTACACCACACTGGCTCTCAGTATTATCCCAGCAGACATGGGCCAGAGATGTGCACTATGATGTGTCATTTTCCCACAAGATTTTTTTTCATGATTTAATTCTCTAAAAAACATCAACAATTAAATGGTGTTGATTTTTCAATTAGAACAAAACGGAAGGAGTATTTTTTTAAGTAACCTCTCTAGCCCAAGAAAATGAAGTATATATAAGCAAAAGCACAGTTACTGTTATTAAATTACTAACCACATTTTAGCTGACTATGCCCAAGTCCTGCAAACACACTTGAACTCAAATTTTAAATATATTTAAACACCTTTCCAATTCCCACATTCATAAAGCACCATTAGAAAACAGCTTAATTGTACCTGTGGAGATTTTACACTGACTTGAGAAAATTTTAAATCCTCATAATTTCTCTGTAGCTCACTGTCTTCAGATAGGCTTCAAGATCACTTACCTTTCCCATAAAGGGTACACTATGAACACCATAGGTTTACACTATTTTGGAAGTTACAAAAGCACCGAACAGAACAAAACATTTGCAGCATAGCTGCACTTCACAGTTTCTAATCTCACCATCATGCTTGTCTGCTCTGCTTATCACCTTTCTCCTTTTGCCAGCTTTTTGCACAGTCTGGCTGCTGCATGACCCCATGGTATTTCAAAGACTTGTTCTGAAAGCTCCATCACCATTTGATGAAAGTAGGTACCAAATGTGGAGGACTGCTTTCAAAGACATGGTAACCTTTTACAGTCTGCAGCACAAATGAAAAGCATAGAAATCTGAATTCATCCAGTGTGAGCAATCCCTTGGTCACAAGGCACAGGCAGAAAAGAATCAAGTATGTGTAACAATTCACTCACACAATGCTCGCTTATCTCTGCTAAAGCAAAAACTCTGACAGCAGCAGGCCTTTAAAAAAATCAAACTACTCGGAGGACCGGTCCCCTATGTGAGGAAACAGACCACTATACAAACCACTTTCTTCCATCCATCCATCCATCCATCCATCCAAATAGGATGTACCATCACATGGGGAAATTTAAGTATCCAGATGAATGGAAGCTACTGTCCAAAACAGACACCTAATTCTTCCTACATTACACCATATTCCCTACCTGAGAAACAGAACAATGTGCTACAGAATAAAAGGTCAAAAATATAATGTACAAATAATGTTAATCTTTAAATCATAACATACTGACTGATGAAACACAATGCAACACTGTACAGATGAGAGTTCCAAAGTGAAAGAGTGCTAAATGGAAGTTTGCAATACAAGGACTTTTCATCTGACTAATTTCACAGTATCTTCAGAAAGAGCCAGTTCCATGCAAAGCTGCAGTAGCCTGTAACATACAGGAATATTAAACAAACAAACAAACAAACCCTAACACTTACCCTTGAGGTTACACAATGCTGGCTGAGCTAAAAGACAAACTCTTACTATTTTGAATCTTTAAGACTTTTATACCCGGAGAATCCTAATGAAAGTTTCCACAGGGAATACTCTTCACAGATTTGTACGAACGTAAGAAAAGCCATGCTGGATCAGACCAAAAGTCCATCTAGTCCAGCACTCCATAAACATGATGGCAAAACAGCTGCCCACAGGAACCCCCAAGCAGGATAGGTGGAAGACCTCCTGCCTAATCACCAGCAAATGGTGTATGCAGGCATGCTTGCCTTTGGTAAAGGAGATATTACATAACCAGCTAGGCTAGTAGCCACTGATAGCCTCCTCCTCTATGCAATCACTTTTAAAAGCTAGCAAGATTGGCAGGCATCACCACTTCCCATGGCAGCAAACTGCATAGCTGAACTATATGCTGTGCGAATAAGTATGTCCTTTTCTACATTCTAAGCTTCCCACCACTTATCTTTGCGGGATGACCATGGGTTCAGGTGTTATGAGAGAGGAAGAAAAATGCCTCCCTCTCTCCACACCATGCATTATTTTAATCACCTCTACCATGTCTCTCCTTGCTTGCCTTTTTTCACATTGATACACTAAATGACTGTACCTTAGAACAGCTAGTCATGAATTCAGGTGAGGCAATTCTGAATTAAACCCTAAATATTGATGCCTAGGATGTAAATGTTGTTAAACTAATTGGCAACAGTGACCACTGTGCTATCAGATTTACTACATATTTAAATGAAAAATTGTCAAGCAAAGTCATTACAGTCTCACTGAACTTCAAAAGATTGAAGTTCTCTAAAAGGATGGGGCTGATAAAAAGTTGAAAAGAAGAGTTAAAGAGGTTAAATCCCTTTAAAACACTTGGAGGTTACTCAGAATCACACTAACAATATCTCAGCTGGAATGCATGCCACAAGTTAGTAAGGGAAGCACCTAATCCAACAGGTCACCTGAATGTTTTTCAAGGAAGCTATTTTCAGGAGCCAGAGTTCCTCCTTTGAACATTCAAAAGCCACAGACCATGTTCCTTGCAAAGCGTTCTTTACTGACCAAAAAGCACAAAACATCCAGAATGAATCTGAGCATGCACAGAATGGTTTCACAGAATCACAGAATAGTAGAGTTGGAAGGGGCCATTAAGGTCATCGGGTCCAACACTCCGCTGTTGCTGAATTGGTTTGTTGAACCAGTCGAGTAATCACCTCCAAGACTTCTCCTTATGAATATGCCTGGGCTCCATCCCTTCAGGAGGGGCCTTC